GAAGTGACAGTGACTCATCTTCAGAGGAGGGGCAGATACAAAGTGAGGGAACACAGTCCTGTGTTCATGAAGTGTAACTGGTGTCTCTCTTAGGGAAAGATATATCTGTAGATTCTAGGACAGCATTTCCTGAAAGGTGTTCAGGAAAAATTAGGTTGCTAAATGCTGTCAGATTGGTGGAGGCTGGAGTGGGCAGACAGTATGTTTCTGCGGCCAAACTCTGCATAATGAGGCCCTTCGTCAAGACTCAAGCTATACTCCCTTGGGGAAACCTGCTACAGAAAGAAAACTCACAGAGGAAACACTGAATCCTTCCCTTAAGAAAATGACCCAGTCCAGGGTTCTGTGACTTGCTTGTTACATGTCAGCACTGCAGGAAAATTAGGGAGAACTAGAGGCAGTGGGTGCCTTATGGTAGATGTGAGGGCCATCTGGCTGTGACCTTAACCATTTTATTCACCCCTATAAATCAGGGGTCCCCAACCTCCCTCCTCCTAGCCTGTGGATGCTGCTAGGTTGCTTGCACCACTGCCTGAGCTCTGCTTCCTGCCTCTCCCCCACCCACCCCAGTCCATGGAAAAATTGTCTTCCATGAAATCAGTCCCTCGTGCCAAAATGGTTGGGGATCGCTGATATAAACAAGTGCTCTTGTAAACTTTCTTTGATATGACATAGAATAAAAACCTTATTTTTTTCCTAGTAGGCCTTCATTGCTTTAAGTTTTGTGAAAATCTTATATTCCTAGGCTCCAGTGCGAACCTAAGGGTGTCACCCACTGGGGCCTGGTCCGTCACTTGGAAAGGGCACCACTGGTGTGTCTGAAGCAGCTGTGCTCTGGGCAGGTGGGCACACAGCTAGCCTCAGTCCACAGGGGTCAGCAGTGCCCACATGCCTCCTTCTCCAGGGGCTGCTGGCTGTCCCCTGACCTGAGGGACATCTCCTGTTTGCCTTTTCTTCCCTATGGTCTTTGCAACCAGCTTTCATGTGCATGCAACACGGCAGGTGTGGAGATGGGGAGGGAGGTGGGAATGATATGGCTTCCACCCCTTCCAGTCTGGCTTCCAGACTGAGGGTGAAATCGGCCCACCCAGCTGGGTATTCTGATCAGTGCTGTGGCAAGATCGAAAGCATTTGGCTGGGGCAGCAGTTGGGTGGCTGGTGACTGTCCATCATTAAAGGGCTAAAGCAAGGCAACCCTCTCAGACCTGCACTATTAAGTCAACACACCGTGGGTCAGAATAAAGAGCTGGAGGAATTCTCCAAGTCGGCAAGTTGGACTTTAAGTTTGAACACCGTTCACAAACTTAGAAACCAACTGTGTCAGTCAGAAGGGGTAATCAGTCACTGAAGCACAGGGGAAGTGTCTGATGCCATCAAACACCTGAATAATAGAATGAAAAACAGTCCTCAGCCCTGCCTAGATGCTAGGCTGGCCATGGCTCCATCTAACATTGCACTTCCCAAATGCAGTGTAATGCAAGCTGCAAAAGTGAGCTGTGTGCACACCTTCAAGTTTTCTGGTAGCCACATTAAAAAAAAAGAAATAGATGAACTTAATTTCATAATATATTTTATTCACATCAATATATCTAAAATTTCAAATATTTCAATATGTAATCAATATAAAATTGTTAATAGGATATTTAACATTAAATATCTTTGAAATCTTATGTTTAATTTACATTATGGGACATCTCAATTTGGACTAGCCACATTTCAAATACCAACCTGTCACTAACAGCTACTAAATTGTACAGTGCAGGCCTAAGAATTTGGAGTCTCATGTACTTTTCTTACACAGGCAGAGAATTTTCTGGGTAGGCTGCCATATGTATACGGCCTTTTGAAATGTATACCCAGTTGCTGTTGGCCTTTAGGGGGTTTCATACTTCAGGCTCTAGTGCATTTGGTCAGTGGGAGTCAGTACCTTTGACCAGTCAGCTCTGAGATACTTGCAAGATGTGGTTCTTCACTGTGTAAGGCTGAGAGCCAGATTTCTGAGTGTGGAAATTCTCAAGGAATGCCTCTCCATGGGAACATGGTTGTGGCTAGCTGCCCTCTCCTAGGGGACCTCCCTGCCTTCCCCAGCCACTTCCCCTATGCTGTGTGCTGGGTGCTTGGAGCTCTCCCAGTCATCATGGGCTGTAGTTGCTGGGCCTCTCAGTTTACCTAACACTTTTTGGGTAGCATTATAGTCTCTTATCCAATCAATTGTGAATGATTACTAATAAAAAATTCTTTATCATAAATGTTAAGAGTATTGACTTACTAATTTAAAAAGTGAGACATTTTCTAACTTTGATGCTCAGCCTGGGCAGAGTGTTCAGGTACCCAGGTTTAAGGTGCCAGGTAGCATAAGTTGTCCCATGTCCCCACTGTGCTCCACCTAAAATCCTCCTAGAGTTTTAAAGTGACTTTTGAAGGGAAAGAAAGGACAGGGAAAGAAGGAGAACCTCAGTCAGAATTTCCTCCCTGCCTCCTGCCAGGCAAGCGGCCAGTGTTCTGGTGGGAAGCTTGGAGCCCAGCAGCTTCTCACATCTTCATTGAGCAGACTGCCCAGTGGAGCCCTCGCGTCTCCTGTGCATGCCGGGCCATTTCGTGAACCCTGTCTATCCAAGTCCACCCCTCCTGCTGTTTCCTTTCCAGCTCTCATTTTTTGCAAGCTCAACTCTCTGTCTTCCACAGACTTAAAAACTTTCTCTGCTCTGAGCGATGCTAATGTTCCTTACACCTTCACTTTCCCATCAAGACATTTGTTCATTCTTTTTCTCCTACCTACCTGCCTTAACACTGTGCTTCACAAACTTGACTCATCACAAGAGTTGCCCAGTTGCTGGTCAGAAACGTAGGTTTCCAGAACCTGGCTCTGGAGGTTGGTAGGACCAGAGGGTGGAGAGGGGAATGTGTGTTGTGATAAAACCACTGGGGAGCCTGATGACCAGACCGATTTGGGGACCTACTCTAATGAGACTTGTTTTTCATGACAGCATTTTTATGTGGAGATTGCTCTATCTGCTCTCCAGTTTACAGAGGAACAAAAAGAAGAAGGCAATATACAGTTGTCCTTACTGCTTCTGGGCCCTTGTTCTGTCAACACCAGTCACTTTCTGAAGCTCACAGTGCCTGTATTACACACCTGAGTGGACCCTTTGCTCTGGCCAAAGCAGGTTAAATCTTAGGGCAGGCTTAGGGTTCCTTAGCTGGAAGATCTTTCCTGTCACCACATGACACAACCCTCGCATTCCTCCAAAGCCCCCTTGATGCCACTTCCCCTCCAGGGCCTTCCCTGATGCCACATCCTTGTTTTTCCCCTTCTCTCCCCATATCTTTCCATGTGACACTGAATTAATTCTGCCTTATATTATAATCTGCTGTATGCCTGGGTTTCCAAGGCTGTCATTCTGGAGATGAAGGCTACCTCCAGCATGGACAGCTGAGTGAGACCCACCCAAAGAGCTCATCCTTCAGCCCTGCCTGCATAGACTGAACCCCTTTGCTTTCTTCCAGGCATGCTCTGCAATTTGTGACACCTAATGGCAGCAAAGGCTCTTGGAAGAAAAATGAGTGAATGAATTGGAAGTTGAAAGGGTAAATATGCTGCACTAAATTGCATAGATTCAATAAGGTAAGATTGCAACAAATCTATTCAAGATAATTACTAATATATACCTGGGCACCACAGCAATGGAGCTGAATAATGTAACAGGAAAAGTCCTTATTTACATTAGAAACTGTTCTGCAAAATTTCGCATTTCATTTCATCACAAGCTGCTGCACAGTTTGGAAACATTATCAGACACTGTCAGTCTTCAGCATCCCTTCCTGTCTTACTGCTCTCCTCATTTCCCTGCATCCATACTGGGGGGAGAAGGGAAATGAACAGATCCATAAAAATCCACTAACCAAGGTATTGCAGTTTATTTCGCAATTTCTGTGACTATATGTGAAGAAACTCACAGTTGTTTTTCCTATGCACACGTGACCACAGTTGCGTGACTACAGGAGCCAGAGGTGAAGGTGGCAGCACATCGCAGCCCCAGTGTCCTGGGCTGGGCTGAGTGCACACTGTTGGCTACAAAACTGGGATCTTGCTTGTCTTCTGTGGGGCCACATTCTTTTAATAAATGTGCTGATGTAAACTGACAACAATTACCTTCCTCAGTTCCTAAAAGGCAGCAAGCCCTCCCACTTACCTGTGTTCCAGGCGAGCAGTTGAAACAATGCATGTCTATTAGGCTCTGCACTACTTATGGTGAATAAAGTAGCCTTTTGACATAATCAGTTGTAGAAATACTATAGTACTCTTTCATTGCTCACAAGAAACCTTAGCTTATGCAAACATGGATCTTTCAGATCTTTGGATCTTTCAACAGCCTTGAGGTTGTAAAAGATTAAAATTCTTTCCCCTGATGAGGCGATAAGACTATCTGCTAATACTTTTAGGTATTTACCACATGCTAGGCATTGTTCTCAATACTCTATGTAAGTGAATTTATTCAATTCTTCCAAAAGCCCTATAAAATAGGACTATTGTCCCTGTTCTACAGATGGAGAAACTGACACAGTGAGATTTATGTCACTTTCAAGACAAGTAGGGAGGAAACTGAAGCGTGGGAGTTGGTCCTGAGCAGTCTAGAACTTGTGCTTTTACCCAGCACACATTTGCGCCTCACAAGGAAGCAGTTTCACCCATGTCAACAGAAGACTCTGGGGGGTTACAACTTCTCTCTTGTTGTCATTCAGAATATGGTCCCCTGTGCAGCTCCCGTGTGCTGACTGACCAGTCATAGCTCATTCTAACCTCAGCACAGCTTCAGGCCCTAGACCTTGTGTCTTACCCTCTCTGCAATGTGAACAGCCTCCGGGTTCTGGGAGTGACCGCTTCCTGGGTGTATAGGTAGCTGTGGGATACTCTGGTCTCAGCTCCCAGGTTCTTGGTGCTACTTTGTCCTCAAGAGAGCCCCGCTGGCCGGGCCCTTCCCACCCAAGACCTCACCCACCTTCAGGCCGAGGTGCAGCTCCCTCAGTGAGCGCTGGATCTCCCTGGTGAGGACGTTCATCTGTTCGCACTCCTGGAAGACAACTGCAGTATATGGGGTGTGCTCCTGCACCTTGGCCATCAGCTCTGGTAGGTTGAACTCGTCAGTTACCCGCTCCAGGATTTCTTCCAGGAGGGCCTTGACCTGCCCACAACAGGAAACACAGCGTTATGAAGGGGCTCTAATTCCCAGAAGGACTCATCCTCTTGCCTGCTGGCTTAGATCAGCTGGGTCAAGGGTGGAGAACCAACCACAGGATGGCCTCTCCCTAAGCTGTGACTTGTGCGACCAACTCAAACATGTGAACACAGATGCCTTTCCAGAAATTGGGAGTTGGAGAAACCCAGAGACTGAAACAGTCAACCTTGAGAATCAAACTGGAGAGGCACAGGACAGACTTGGGTCCAGGGTGGTCATTTTGGGTCACACAAAGCATATATATATTCCATTCTGAGCTCCTAGGTGGCTGCACCATAGTTTCTGTCCTTGCATCCTGAAAGAAGCACCCCCATTTGTCATGCAAACCTCCTCCCCCGCCCCATGATTCCTTTTGCCACACAAACTACCAGCTAATTAGACCAGGGAGCTAGAACATCCAGAACATCCAGGGTCTCTCTCCTGGAAAATTGGAAGTGAGGTACTGAGATACTGAGTTCTTTGGGGGCAAGCATTGGAGGCTGAGCCTGCCATTTTTAATTAATTAATTATTTTTTCCTCAGCTGAGGACATTTTTTCATAGCTTTTAGAGAGAGAGGATGGGGGGAGATTGAGAGAGGGGGGTGTTGAGAGAGAGAGAGAGAGAGAGAGAGAGAGAGAGAGAGATCTCTTGTGAGAGAAACATCCACTGGTTGCCTCTTGTACATGCCCTGACCAGGTAGCAAACTCACAACCTTTCAGTTATAGGCTGATGCTCCAACCAACGGAGCCACACCAGCCAGGACTGAATCTGCCATTCTGAGGCAAATGAGTAAGCCCAGAAGGCCTGTCAGCAGAGAAAGAAAAATGAAACAAGTGTGGACATAGCTGGACTTGTGGACCTCAGAGAAGGGAGGGAGCCAGCTTTCCGGGGTCCTGAAGTACAGGTGGTGGAAGTCTATTGTTTTTATCTGTACATTGTCTTTCTCTCCTTCTTAACAGGTCCCTATCTCCTTTGTGAAATTACCTCTTCCCTATTGTTTTGGGGTACAGTTTTGGGGCCCCACCTTCCCATGACCCAAGCAGGCCAATCAGGCGACCTCTTCCAGAAGCAGGAAAATGTGAAAGTCAAGATGTGGATTCAGGGACAGGACGTGGCTGAGCCGCTGCGGGAGGGAAGCGCCCTGCGAGGACTGCCCACTTGTCCTCTCCCTGGGCCCAGAGCCACTGTGCTCTGTGGCCTTTCTTAGGGTTCCTTCGATACAGTGAGCCATTTCTTGCCTATTTCAACTAAATCGGTCCCTGTTGCTGGCCATCAAAGGACCCTGGCTGAGTTAGTAGAGTTCTGTTATGCATCGCCTGTGTGAATTTAGCACCTCATTTAGGTCTCAATTTTCTGCATCTATGGGAAATTTCCAAGAGTGTTTTTTCTCTACCTGCCCCCTCTCCCCTGACTCCCAGGGCTGATGCAAAGATCAAATCAAATGGGTTGATGAATATGGCAGCATCTGAAAGCAATGAAAAACTACATAAATATGAAGGATTATTAATATTCACTTTGCCTTGCATTGTTAACATACAATACACTCTCCAGGTAAAAAGCTGATGTTAAAAAAAAAAAGAAAGTAAAACTCATCACCCTGTCACCAATGGGTCTCTGGTGCTCTCATAGCAAAATCTGGAATGGCATTTTAATGGCACCTGAAAGCTGCTGTGAGGGTAAGAGACAAATGGCTAAAATTATATCGTATTTCTGTCTCTGGAGTGGAATTTGAAGAAAGTCATGTAACAGAGAGCTTCCATTTGGACATTACTCACAAAGAGATGAAAAAGATAGTCTGGATGCATTGTTCCAGAATACATTGGGTGCGGAACCCGAGGCAGGAGAAGGCTGAGAGGGAGGGGCTGCCAGCCCCGAGGTGGAAGCCCCTGCTGTGCTCAGAGAAGTCCCAAGGCCCTTCATGTGGGAGCAGTGGGTCCCAAGGGATGTGGTCTACTTTACTTACACAAGCAAACACCTCTGCCATTTTTTCCTTTTGGAGAAATTAATAAATAAATGCTTTCTGTAAATACCTAAACACTATAGTCCCATATGATATTAGAAGCAAATCCTTCCACAATTTTGCTTATTCCCTCAAAGAGGGGAAAACCACTAACTGCTAATTTTTGGGTTTATAATTCCTGCAGGCATTTTTTGATGCATATAACTCCATACATTAATCCATCCATCTATCCATCCACCCACCCACCCACCTGTCCGTCCATCTGTCCACTCATCCATCCATCCCTCTGCATATTTATCTTGTGTCATGTCTTCCTTCCTGCCTCCTTTGCCCCTTCCTCCTCCCACTTCCCTCCTTTCTTCCTTCCTTCCCTCCTTCCCTCCCTCCCTTCCTTCCTTCCTTCTATCCATCACTAATGAAATCATACTACCCATAGCTTTTCCAGCTTATTTTTCTCACCTTATCATAAATCTTGGACACGTTCCTTTATCAGTACATATGGATTTACCTTTTTTAAAAAACAGTATATATTATTTCATTGTTTTGGCAGACAATAGTTTGCTGTGTTATTCCTCTATTGGATATTTGGTCTATTATTTTTACTACTGTAAGAAATCCTGTAATAAATAAATATAAACATATCATAAAATCTGTGCACTTCTGAGTGTTCTTACTGGTTGAATTCCTACATATAGAACTATGAGTAAAAAATATGAACACTTTAAATTTTAGTAGCTACAAATTGCTCTGTAATTTAAACCATCAGAGATGAGAGGGCTTGCTTTCTCATGCCCTCATCACTAGACAGTATCACATTTGAAAATCTTTACTGTTAGGTGGAAAATGGTATTTCCCTTAACTTTGTTTTGTTATGAGTGACACTGAGAATATTTTTGTTGGCCATTTGTACAACAGCCAATCATTATGAATTGATTTTGTGTCCTTCTTCCCCTTCTCTTCTTCTCTTTCTTTCTTTTCCCCCATGTAGGAACTCTTGGCATATCAGCAAAGTGTGCCCACTTCCTGGTATCTGTGGTGCTAATAGGTTTTCCTGGTTTGGCAAGTGATCATAGTTTATCCATTTCTGAAACACACACACACACACACACACACAAATTATTCCTTGAATTAGCTGAAAGAAGGAGCTAAGAAAATCATAAGAACTAGACTCTTCTTTGAATGTTGCCTGGAGAATTCTAAGTCTATTACTTATATCATCCTAGCCTTCTACCTTTCTTGGAGCTAGGAATGTTTTTCGTTCTACTTGGTTTGGATTCTGGGTAATGGAAAATTTCTTCTTTTCTTTTTGTTTTCAAATTTTATCATATACTTCCAATGGCAGAATAGCCTGAGAAGTGTGAGTTAGGGCAGCCCACTCCAAGTGTGTTCATCTGCATCAGGCTTGCTAGGGTGCCTAAATCCCTGGAGCCTAAAAGTTTGATGACTCCCAAGGTTCTTAATTCTCCATCTTCCAAGTATGTTTCCTTGTAAACCCAGCGGAATCTCTAATTAAAGAAATCTGAGTTGTACTGTAGAGTGAAGGGAGGTGAAGGGGGTACATCTCTCAGGATGAATTAGCTTGTTGTAGGAAAACTTCACAGAGAAATTTCCTTTCAGTGCCCCATTCCTTTTCTGACCTCTGCTATGCCCACACCAGGAACAGGGCCCTCACATTGCCTCTGGTCGTCCCCAGACCCATAACTCACTCTAGGCTGCCTTTCTACCCCATCATTCTCCTCTGCCCTTCTGAAATTTCAGGAAGTCCTGTGCTTAGTAGCACTTAACTGTGTTAGGGCTCTCTGGTTAAATGTCACTCACACAAAGAGAAGGCATTTTTGTCTTAAAGAGGATGAGAGAATCCCAATGAGCATCTGGTTGGTGGAATGCTGGTGGAGGTTTTCAGGAATATCACCCCACTCACCCTCAGTTTGCTAAGCAATGGCAAAGTCCATTTCAAGCTTCCGGGACAACCATTGCTCACCTCCTCCGCTTTGGCAGACAGACTGCATTAAAATGGCCTTTGGGTGGAGTAGCAGAGCAAACTTCCAAACTCAATGGTAGGGGCTTCCTATGATGTCACCAGATGGCTGGTGTGGTGACCTGATTGAAGAGGGGGCAGGGCTCTTGAAATGATGGTCAAGCAGGTCAAGGCTGGATGGCTGGGCATTTGTGTGAAGGGCAGGTGTGCACAGTAGGGTCTGTGCTGTGTCCTGCTGATGGGGCCAGCTGGGGGCAGGGCCTCCTTCTGCAGTCCTCAGCTCCTCAGAGTGACCTCAGGCACTAACTCCCCCCCCCCCCCCCACACACACACCTTTTCTTCTCTGGTAACCCCAGCTCCATCTCTGGCGTGGCTGTCCCGGGGTTGCAGCTCCAGCACCGTGCGAAAGAGCTTTTCTGAGCTTTGTGTCAAGAAGCCAATCTCGGCGTTGGGGTGGAGGCCATAGAGATATGGCGACTCGGGGGGCAGCTTGGTGTCAATGTACTGGAAATCAAGGGCAGGCTCACTTAAAAACAAACCAAGACATCTCCCATCTCCCACTCTGGTTTATACTCCAAATGGCAGTCAGTGGGCCGCAGCAGGTCCCCGGGGGAACCAGTGTCCCTTCAGCTCCCCCTGCCCCCTGCTCTCCCCTGCCCCCCCTGCCCCGTGAGCACGGGTCACCTACACTGACAGACGTCAGCTGGCTCCCACCGAGTAGTGCACACCTCGCCCCCAGCCCTCCCTCCACACCACTAGTTTTTGTAGCTAGGCTGGTTTCCAGAACTCCTACATTCATGGGATCATTCTCTTGCTGGAGAAGTTGACAAGATTTTCTCCATGTCTAATCTCACCGCCCCTGCCTGCTCTCCCAGCTGTCCTTCCACACAGAGGCTTGGAAACACTAAACCCTATCTGGTGTTTTTTCTCAAGCTCTCCTTTGACCTCAGACCTTTTCCCCTTGAGTTACTTTTCTCTCCCTTCTCTTTAGTTGAGTCAGGAAAGACAAACCTACACTTGAGCACGAGACGACACATGCAAAATAAATGTGGGACTCAGGGTGCAGGACTAGGTAAGCTTTGCTGCAAACTGGAGAGTTCCTGCCTCTGGGGAAAGTATTCTTGTTTGAAAACTTTAAAACTGAGTGTCACCCAAATAGCACATCTCAGTGGTCAGCTATGGTGGACCACAGCCTGCTGTCCCTAAAACACCTTCCTCAGCTTTAAAAAATAAATATATTGTATTGATTATGCTATGATAGTTGTCCCATTTCCCCCCTTTTACTTCCCTCCACCCTGCACACCCTCTCCCACCCACATTCCCCCCTTTAGTCATGTTCATGTGTCATACTTATAAGTTCTTTAACTTCTACATTTCCCATACTATTCTTACTCTCCCCCTGTCTATTTTCAACCTACAATCTATGCTACTTATTCTCTGTACCTTTTCCCCCTCTCTCCTCCTCCCACTCTCCTGTTGCTAACCCTCCATGTGATCTCCATTTCTGTGGTTCTGTTCCTGTTCTAGTTGTTTGCTTAGTTTGTTTTTGTTTTGTTTTAGGTGTAGTTGTTAATAATTGTGAGTTTGCTTTCATTTTACTGTGCATGTTTTTTATCTTCTTTTTCTTAGTAAGTCGCTTTAACATTTCATATAATAAGGGCTTGGTGATGATGAACTCCCTTAACTTGACCTTATCTGAGAAGCACTTTATCTGCCCTGTAGGAGAACATTCTGCATGGTGTAGGCCCAGCTCCCACTTGGAGATGCACAGGATCCATGCCCAGGGATAGGTTCTCCTGTGGGGAATCAGGCCTGCAATGTATCTAGGCCACTTTGAGACTTGCTTTTGCTAAAACTTCCTCACCCTGAATTGAGGCAGCAAACATTTACTGCAAAGTAACTTCCTAAAATCCATGCTAAACCTTTCAAGGATGAGTGTAACTGGTTCAAACACTTTTCCCTTTCCATTTGCAAATATCCTTCTTCTGTGATGTGATTAGTGGCATCGTCTCCTTTGTTTTCTGTAAGAGGTAACCACCTAACTCGAACCTGGGCATAGTAAATGAGGACCATCATGTAATGTGCCCAGAAAAAGAAATAAAGGCTTGTCATGGCAGAGGCCCTGGATTTTGCTCCCCTTGGGAGAAAAGCCATGCTCACCCTTTTCCTCCACAGGACTCAGTAGTCCGTGTGAATGTCTTGTGTCTCATCCACAATGTGGTGGACCCCACAAGCCGGGGTCCACATCACTGCCCTTCCATTCTAAATGAAAACTTTGCTGGATAAAGCAATCTTGGATGTATGTCCTTGCCTTTCATAACTTCAAATACTTCTTTCCAGCCCTTTCTTGTCTGCAAAGTTTCTTTTGAGAAATCAGCTGCCAGCCTTACGGACCCTCCTTTGTAGGTAACTGTCTCCTTTTCTCTTGCTGCTTTTAAGATTTTCTCCTTACCTGTAATCTTGGGTAATATAATTATAATGTGCTTTGGTGTGTTCCTTCTTGGGCCCAATTTCTTTGGGACTGTCTGAGCTTCCTGGACTTCCTGGAAGTCTATTTCCTTTGCCAGATTGGGGAAGTTCTCCTTTATTATTTGTTCAAATAAGTTTTCCACTTGTTGCTCTTCCTCTTCCCCTTCTGGTACCCCTACATTCCAATTCAGATGTTGGAATGTTTAAAGATGTCCTGGAGGTTCCTAAGCCGGTCCTCATTTTTTTGAATTCTTATTTCTTCATTCTTTTCTGTTTGGTTGTTTCTTTCTTCCTTCTGGTCCACTCCATTGATTTGAGTCCCAGTTTCTTTCCCATCACTATTGGTTCCCTGTATATTTTCCTTTATTTCGCTTAGCATAGCCTTCATTTGTTCATCTAATTTGTGACCAAATTCAACCATTCCTGTGAACATCCTGATTACCAGTGTTTTGAACTGTGCATCTGATAAGCTGGTCATCTCTTCGTTGCTTAGTTGTATTTTTTTCTGGAGCTTTGATCAGTTCTTTTGTTTGGGCCATTTTTTTTTGTCTTGACACGCCTGTTACATAGCTAGGGGCAGAGCCTTAGATGTTGGCCCAGGCAGGGCAACCCAGTTGCTGGGTTGTGACATTGTATGTGGGACAGGGGTCTGAGAGGGAATAATGGTGCTTGCTCCACTCTCTGCCAGATTTCAGTCACTTCTGCTGCTTCCCCCAAGCAAACTGGACCCTTCTGGTGCTGATTCCTGTGTGGGTGGGTTTGTGTATATCCTGGGACCCTGTGGGTCTCTCCAATGAACTCTCCTGTGAGGCTGGGAGTCTCTCCCAGCACCTCAACCCCCACAGATGTTTTCAATTGGTGTTTTGAGGCTTTATTTCCCCACACTGGGACCCTGGGTTGCACCGTTTGTCTTGCTCACCAGTTTCGCCTGGTTTATCTGAGTGCGAATGTGGGACCACCTGCTTCCGTAAACCCCCTTGTGTCCTAAGCCCCTTCACAATCTGCTGCCTTACTGGGTCCACCTGCTGCCACCCCATGGCCCGGGGTCGCTAGCCACCGCTTTTTTTTTTTTTTTCCTTGATCCCTCTCCACCTGGCTGCCCGAATCTGCCCCTCCTGCTGGTCTGGATGAACATGTCTACTTTAACTCCTTGGTTGTTGGACTTCCACACAGTTCAATTTTCTGTCAGTACTGGTTGTTTTCTTGTTTCTAAATTGTTGTTGTCCTTATTTTGGCTGTGCTAGGAGGCACAGTGTGTATACCTATGCCTCCATCTTGGCTGGAAGTCCCTTCCTCAACTTTTAAGGCTCCCTTTCATCTCCAAATATTCTCTGAGTACAATTCTTTCTGTTACAGTGAGAAAATATCCCTCTGGTTTAACTCCTAATTTGACTTTAATGATTTCTTGGTCTTAGCAATATCTAGTCTAAGTAAATTGGCAAATTTGTGTGTTTATTTTTGTGTTTCTTCTAGCAGCCTGCACACTCCTGAGCTTCTTGGTAGCTTCTTTGTAATTATCTATTAACTTAAAGATTAAGGGAGGGATAAAAAAGGGAAAGTCTACCTCAGCTATTTGGAAATGTACACTTTGTCACTGCCCAATACTTACTCCAGTTTCTTGTCAAATGGCCCCATAGACACTAGGGGGTGCACTTGCACAATTTTCTTGGCTAAAGCCTTGAAGTCTTTTGGTCAAGTAGTTTAAAAAAAATCCTTTTATATTTTTAGAGTCTTATTGTTTTTAATTTCTTCTCATAGGTCCTTTTTTCCTGGATCAAATAACTTTTATGAGTTATGTACTTAAATTTTATAAATTAAACAAATTTTAAAGCTTGTAGTTAATGTTTCTATGACTACTGTGTCCCTTAAGTTTGGTATTCAAAGTTCTTACAGGCATCTTCAAAAGTCACACAATAAAAAGAGATTTTTTAAAAAATTACACTTTAATATATTTTCCATGACAGGCTAAATAGGCAAAGATAAGCACTTTAAAAATAGCTGTGGTAATTGTAAAATAAAACCCCAAATAAATAGTATAAAGAAGCTTCATTTGAATGCTTTCCTAGGATGTGTATGTGGGTGTGTGTACCTTGTACACAGCAACCCACAAGGGTGAGGGACCTGCCCATGAGACTTTAAATGTCCCTTTAAAGGTCTTGTCCCCTTAAAGATATTTAGAATCACTAACATAAATTTTAGCAAATGGTAGCTAAGTTGTTACCAGAAAATTTGTTCCTAATGGCTTTGTCAATATCCTGAATGAAAATAATTAAATGAATGCCACAGATATTATTTGTAGAAAAGAGCAACAAATAGAATCACTGAACCAAACAATAAGAATTGAAAGATCTCCAAAGCCTCAGGTGTATCATGAATTTGAGGCTAGAAATCCTGCAGCTCTCAAATTGGCCAGGGCAGACTTGGGGCTGAGAGTCACACTGCGTATGAGCGCTCCTCTGTCTGCCGTTCTCCCCTGGCCCTGTGTGAGCATCCCTCAGCCATACGGGGCAGCACCCAGGTCCCTTGTGGGCTCCGTTACACTGTCTCGAGCAAAGAGCAGAGCCTGACCTGATGGTAGCCATTGTAGTCCATGTTGCCTGGGAGTGGGAACCCTGGGGCCAGAGACAGCTCTCCTTCAAGCATTTCTGGTTTAATGAATTCCTCCAGGTATGTCCTGCAGAGTTTCCTGTCCCAGTCATCAGTGATATGGCCTCCATACATGATCTCTCCAAAGAGGTAACGCAAATCATCATAGGGGACCTGAGAGACAAGGGAAGGACAGAAAGATCTCCACACAGACATGGGGCTGGTCAGGCCTGGGGCATAGCAGGGTCCCAGGATGGGGTACTTTGTGAGCAGCAGCGTTTCATTCCCCTGTGTACCCCAGGGCCCAGCACAGTCAGGCACATGTGGGAGCTCACGAAATGCTGGAAAAATTACACCACAGGGTGGGGAGAGTTAGGGTGCAACCCCTCCAGTGTATACCTTCCCTCTCTCATGTCATTAACTGTGACAATGCAGTGGCCCTATCAACAAGTCCTTTAAATAGGCAAATGTCAAATGGAATAAAATGAGGACCAGGGTACTTTTCTTAATTTCCTGCCATTAATTAGCATATTGATGAATGAACTGTGGCAGGAAAGTTCACTGCTGTTGAAGTGGAAGAAGCCTTCCCCAAGTACAGCAAATGAAGGGGTGGGGTTGTGGGGGTGGGCTTCCTCGTCCCTGCTGCTGGAGGCAGAGGGACTGCTCAAGGCATCTGTGCCTGATTCGTTTCCGCTGGGAAGGAGGAGGCCTTGGAGATGCTGTGCTTGGTCTGTGAACCAGAACAGCCTTGAGGGTGTGAATGTTCCCTTAAATGGAAGAGGATAGGTAGTTAGTGAAAGTCTTCTTTGAAAAGGAATATCAGACAAGAATGAAGGAGATAAGGTGTAGCAAGGCTTTGGCTTCCTTTTCAACTTTGGTGAGGTCACACCAATGTAAGGAGCTGAGTTCCCCAAGAGAAGTTCCGTATCCTCAGCTAATTAAATTAGGAGTTTGTATCAGGTGAGTGTGGGGCCTCTTCTTGCCAATCCACAGTCCCCTGCAAAGCTGTGAGCACAGGGGTGGTTGGGGCTCAGGAACAAACACTCACTGGACTGACTTGCTTGGGGACTGACTCAAACCAGCCATGAGATGCAGGTTTGGTTTCCCAAGCTTTACGGTACTTTTCTCAACCTCACAGTGGGGTTGGCCATGTGGTTAAACTCACACTTCCTCACTCCTTCTTTGGGTGTGTGCATGTTCCTACTTACCTGAGCTGATGTCCTGCCCCAAGTTGGTGGGGGGAGGGGGCTTTACCTTTGCATTGGCCTCCAGGAAGTTGTAGAGCACATTCACAGAGATGGTGAGGTCCCCAGTGTTGAAGGGGTAGGAGCGATTCCATCCCTGAGGCCCAAACTTTCGTCTTTCTGCCACCACCGCATGAAAGTAACAGAGAGCAAAGAGGATGCTCTTAAACTCAGTCTCCCGGGAACACATCTCCAGGGTGTCCTGAAAGAAAAGGGCCGCTTGCGATGTCAGCTGTCAGCACGGAGCTTCATTCTGTGGGGCAGGGTGGGGCATGGGCTAGGGTGGCTGGGTTGCTCTGGATAAAGTTCCGGTTTGTACTGTTAGGGTGTGAGCTCCATTCAGCAGGGACTGCACTGCATTGTGGACATGCCTGGGCCCAGTGTTTGAGGGGGCCCTGCTGAGGGCTGGGTTTGAATTTAGAATCTGAGTGAAGGTTTATATTCAGGTTAACATTTGCACATATGGACGTGCTAATTAAGTTCTCAAGCACAGCTAATGGAAAACAGGGTAGTGGCCACAGGAGTGGGAGTATCCCGTTTGTCATATTCATGTCACTTTGTGATGGAGTGTGGGTGGGAACTCCCACAGCATCATCTCTTATTTCTTCCCTTCCTGTCATGCCTTTCTTACGCATCATGGAAACTTCGTAGGTGTAATTACTGCCTGTGTGGCTCGGGGATCCCCGGCTCATGGCTGTGGGGGTTGCTGTGCAGAGGGAGGATGGGAACCCCAGACACAGAGACAGAGAAGGCATGCCCTTCACCATCCTAACCACCCTGCCACACCTGAGCAGGGTCAATGGGACGCTCAGCTGCAGACAAGAGAGCGGAGGGGTCCTGGCTGAGAACTATCATGGGCAGAGATGTGGCTCCTGAAGAGGATGGAGAGAGGGACAGACAGAAGAAAAGAGAGGCAGGAGATGGTCCGGAAGGGGGTGCAATGGGGTTGTGGTTGGTGTATTTTAAGGGGGATGGTGTAATAATGAAGAGGGGGAAACCTGTATTTTGAAGGGATGGTAGGAATAGAACCCCTGGAGTCTTTAGAATTACAAATTTCTTCTGAAGGAGACCCTTTCTGTTCAGGAAGGAGCGAGACATTGCAGTTGAAGCCCAACAGAGGCCTTTCCAAAGCTCACACACATTGGGTTGGGTTCTGTCCTGGAGTTTCTCCTAAGAATCAGTCCCAGGACTTTGCTCACAAGGGTCAGGGGAGCAGAGGGGACAGGACAAATTAAGCTTCCGGTAGGTCTGATTTATCCATGGAAAAACCGTGATACAATCTCAATTTCTCTTTGGCTATGTGGGGGTCACCTGGAGCCTTCGCTGGGCATGTTTCCACGAAGAGGTAGTGTGAATGGTCAGAGGTGGTATAGAGGACATACTAACTGCTTCATTACTGTGTTTTGCTTTGCAAATATAAATTCATTCACTGCTCCCTGGACAGGGATGTTCTCTACAGACACGTACTGTGCTTCCTTTGTTACTTTGGGCACATTTGAAAAAAACTGGGGCCTGCTGAAAAATGCCTGCGATACCAAAGACAAGAAATCACACATTAAAATTGACAGTGGCACACTCAAAAGCCAGAATAAAATGATCATCCCCAAGCTGCACAGCCCTCAGGGAAGCAGGAGTGAAAAGAGCTCAGTTCTGCTGTGTGTCCCTTAAGTGGTTAACCCAGGGCTCTGAAGAAACAGGGCGAATAGTAGGGGCATGAGCTGGGCCTCTGCCCAGGGCACTGCGAAAGCATCTTGGGACAATTAAAACTCTTTTGAATGATAAATATAATCCTAAATTCATCCCTCTTTCTTAGAACATGGTACTGAAGATGGCTATAAGTGGCCAAAAAGCCAACTGTGGCAGCAACAGAATAACCAGGAAAGGCCAGCAGCTCTTGAGGTGATTTCCCAGCTGCCTGATGACCAAACTGAACACAGCCCTTGCAGGGAGGTAAACCCCAGAACAAGGGCCAAAGAGGAAGCCAGGCATGGCTACAGGTGACAAAAACCTGATGGGGGCATACTATGTAACATCAGTCGTTAGGAGGTGGAGCCTGTTCTACTCTGCTGCTTATCCCTGGCTCTGTCCAAGGCCCTCAGGGCAGATGCACTGGGCAGGGTCTGCCACTGTATCATGGTACAGAGCCAGCTAATGCTGTCCTGGTGCCGTTTTTTCAACTTTTAATCTAAAAAATTGTGATTAAATATTCGTAACATAAAATTCACTGTCTTAGCCACTTTGAAGCATACAGTTCAGTGGTCTCATGGACATTGCCACTGTTGTACAACCCAATGCCTTCCTTCCCTGGGTGGCAGTGTGCTTGCTGGAACCAGCTGCAGCCACCCATACAGGAGCTTGACCTCTGACACAGAGCACCTACAGGTCCAGTCAAGGCCTGTTTAGAAAAAATAAAAATGAAAGAAAAAAGTGCCTTTGGACAAGAGAGCAAACTACCCTCAGCCCTGTGTTGTAATGGGCACACATTTGTTGACAAAAACAGCAAGCTGGAATATCCTGAATCTCCTGGCCATGCCTCCGACTCTCCATTGCAGATTATGTGTGGCTTTTGGGGTCAAGTTGGCAAGGTGAACGAGAAAGGAGGATGGACAAGTTTCACTTCCCCAGTCCTTGTGGCAGCTTCCTCTCCAAGTTGGACTGCTCGGTTCCGACACCATGAGGGACGTCATCTCCACAGTAAAATCTGACACTCTGCCAAATGGTCTTCATCTTATTTTGAATTAAACCACACCCCAAAAGGCCCCTGGTCCTGATGGTTTACATTGGGCTAACTAGAACACTTGTCCTGTTGGAGGGTCTGTTTCAAGTTGCCTAGGTGACCCAGCTGGGACTTGCAGAGAGTTTTACCTTGGGTTCCATGAAGCTAGAGACTCACTGATGCTATTACGATGTCAGGGAAGAAAGCCTTCCCAACAGTCCAAGAATCATCCTTTTGGGCTCTACTAAGGCCCAGTGTGGTGGATGGACTTTAGGGTAGCTTCTGTGCCCCCCACTCAGCATTCACACCTTCGTGTACTCCCCTTCCCAGGGTGGTGGGGCTCTCCAAGGCAGAAGCAGCAAGAAAGGACATCTTCCTGAGAAAATGAAAGGGGCCCCATGGCAGACTTTGCAAGTGCTACATTATATGTGGAGTGAGCCACCCATGCAGTTGGCTTTGACTTTTAATAAACAATCCACAACACAAGTCTTAGAATCCCCAGTCATGGAAATTCCAGTAGTGTAGTAACCTGCATCTGAAACTTTCTCTTGATATTCTGAATCTCCTTGTAGCATAGTGTTTTCAGAGTTGTGCAATGGAATCCCCTGCAGAGCTTGTTAGAATACAGATTCCTGGCTCCGCCCCAGAGTTTTTGACTCAGTGGTCTGGGTGGGAGTCTAAGAATTTGCATTTTGACAAGTCGATGCTGATGCTGCTATTCTGCAGGTCATACTTTAAGAGTCTAGCACATGGCTCCTGCTGTTGTGGCTCAGTGGATTGAGCACTGGACTATGAACCAAAAGGTTGCTGGTTTGATTCTCGGTCAGAGCACATGCTTGGGTTGTGGACCCAGGTGTGTCTGGGACTTAGAGCAGGCTTGTACTTAGTAGGCACAGGGTGGAGGTCAATCTCAAAGGGAACACATTGTGCCCATCGAACACATTGGCATTGCACCACAGCCTAGTGGGTCCCCCACACCACCCCCAGGTGCATGCTTTTCTCCCACCCAGTTGAGTCAGCTCTTTGTGAGGTGGGGTGCTCACCTTCCCTCCCTCCCAGGACCATACCTGAGTGAAGTTGTCCAGGGCCTTGTGCAGGTTGGCATGCATGCCCGTGGGGGGCTCATTGGTGATTTTAATGGAGTTCTCCAGGATGCCCTGGGGGATGATGTGGCCCTCAGGGGAGGGTGCAGGCTCTGCACTGATGAAGACCCTGAACTCTGGGTGGCTGTTTTCACTGAGCTCCTCCAGCTTCTTCTCCAGGGTGCTGAGCCACTTGGCAACCAGGTGGATGTTCTGGTGGGAAGGACAGACCCCACAATATAGGCATTTGCTTAGCTCTGTTAGCAGCAAACAGTTATCAGGAGGGCAGCTAGAGGAAAGACCTGGTCTTAGTTTCAAATAAATTGCATTGCAGTGTGAGTCTTGGGACTGCCAGCAATAGGGGCCTCCTAGTATCCTGCAATTGAACCCTTTCCCTTGATATCCTAAGTCTCTCTAGCACAGTATTCTCAGACTTGACTGTGCATCAGAATCCCTTGCAGGGATTATTGAAACAAAGATTACTGAACCCCAACCTCAGAGTTCCTGACTCAGCAGGTCTAGGGTGGGGCCCGCAAATTTGCATTTCTAACAAGTTCCCAGGTGATGCCGACCACACTGGTGGTCTGGGGGCCGAATTTTAAGAGTCTAACACATGGTTACATTACAAGTCCAGATCCTTGCTATCTGATACCTGGATTATTGAACACTTGATGCTCAAAAGTGAGGCTGTGGACCAACAATGTTGGCATTACCTGAAGCTAGTGAGAAATGCAGACTCCTAGGCTCCACCCAGACTTACTGAATCAGTACATTTCTTCCCTTTTAATCCTCACCCAAAGACATTTTTTTTTCATTACTTTGAGAGAGAGCGAGAAAGAGGGAGAGGGGGAGAGGGGGAGAGAGAGAGAGAGAGAGAGAGAGAGAGAGAGAGAGAGAGAGAGAGAGAGAGAGAGAGGGAGAGGGAGAGAGAGAGAGAGGAAATATGATGAATGTGAGAGAGAAACACCAACTGGCTGCCCCCAGCAGACACCCCAGCTGGGGACCAAAACTGCAACCCAGGAGCATGCCCTGACTGGGGATCTAACTGGCAACCCTTGGGTTTATGGGATGATGTTCCAACCAACTGAGCCACACCAGCCAGGGCTGAATCAGTGCATTTTAATAAGATCTTCCAGCGATGTACATGTATGATAAAATGTGAAAGTCACTGATTTAAACTCCTCCTAGCTAGCTTTCCTGCCTCCTTTCTCTCTCTCTCCAGACCATTCTGCTAACTGTTGCCAAACTTTCCTTCCTACAGCCACCACTGCTCACAGATGCTCTCTTCTCCAAGCCCAGGCTCCTGTGCAACGCCTTTCAGCCCTCCTTCCACTGCAATTCCTAACTGTCTGTCTGTCTATGTATCTAAACCTACATTTATTTCTTAATACTGCTTTGCAGAATGCACCTTTCACTTCAGTAAAAATAGTCACTTTGCTTCACGGCAACGTGTTTCAATATAATGGATGGATAAAGGCTCCTCAGCAAATATTTGAGGAAGCCTGCTCACAGAGCCTTAAATACACTGACTGGCACTGAGCATAGCACTTGAGCCACAGCAATCTGGTCTCTTGCTTTCTCTTCCAAAAAAGAAAAAAAAGGAAAGAAATAACAATATTTGCCATACTTATTTCACAGAGTTCCTGCAAATACCAAAGATAATGGTTTTGAAATGTTGTTGAAATGAAAATATGTTAAATTAGAAATTCATTTATAATCACTCTTTTGGAGTGGAAACTTCAATGGGATGCCCAGAGAGCCAGGGTTCTGTTAGCCCGGGAGTGCCAGCACCCACCAGTGAGTAACTGGGTGACTGCTTCAGGAATTCTATCTTCCGTGTTTAATCCTGGAGTGCTCTCAGAAACCATGTCAGCACAAGATGCAGAGGCCTGGGCAGTGGTGGGTTCTCAGGAAGGAAATACTCCCCGTCTGTTAACTGAGGGCTGGGTTCCCAAGGGCTCTAGTGCCCAGAAGGGTGTCTCTTTGGCAGATGAGCCAGAGATGCTGGGAGACCACACTTTCCCAGCACCAGGCCAATCCACGTGAGAGGTAGCAGGAACCTCCAGCTGTTTTCTTCTCTTCTCCTGAGATACCAGCTGTTTCTAGAGAAACAGTCTCAGGGAGTGGCAGCTCCCTCAGTTGCTAGGCTCTGGATAAATAACAGGATGATTAAGGATGAAGACCCAGCAGCAATATGCAGCACAGTGAACAGTAAGGAGACAGGGGAAGTTCTTGGGAATGAAAACCAAGACAGGATTGACTGGCTTTCTCATTTGTTTTTTCTTTCATTGATTTTTTTTCATTGAGTGCTTTTGAGGAGTGTCTGTTATGTTCACAGCAATGTGCTGGGCATGAAAAGAAATGTCTTTTTTCTTGTTTTTTTTAAATGTGGGTTTTTTTTGTTGTTTTTTAAAGATTTTATTTATTTATTTTTAGAGAGGGAAGGGAGGGAGGGAGGTAGGGAGAGAGAGACAGACAGACAGACAGACATCAATGTGCGGTTGCTGGGGGTTATGGCCTGCAACCCAGGAATGTACCCTGGCTGGGAATCGAACCTGGGACACTTTAGTTCCCAGCCCGCACTCAATCCACTGAGCTATGCCAGCCAGGAGAAATGTCTTTTTTCTTAAGAGACATTTATAATGAAATATAGTGAAAGACATGCCAATATATCACATCATCTCAATCTAGCCATGAATGCTCTAATAGAGGTGGTTATAGGTTTTTATAGGAGAAAAAGGGGAGCAAGGTGCTTGGCACCCAGCTCCAGCATCCATACGAGTAGCATAAAAATGGGCAGGCCATGATAGAAGGGGGGGGGTGGCCTTTATTTCTTGTAATTGTTCAGTAAAATTACCAGTAGAAGTAGGTCCAGATTTCTAAACCTTAACATGAATTCTCAATGAAGAGGCAAGTTGGAACTAGAGTTACACATGTGATGTTCTGCAAAACATATAACACAATAGAAAAGTACATCAACAAAGTTCCATGAAATGCATGGGAGGCAATCAGCAGCCAGAAAAGCCCAACTGCTATGGCCTTGAACTGAGTGCCAATGCCCCGAACACACTTCAGGAGAGGACTCGGTTCCTGTTGTAAGCAGAGTTATCTAAACCAGACAGAGCAGCCATAGCAGGTGAGAGCAGGGAGAAGATGATTGGGGGTGCAGTGAGGAGAGAACATATGAAGAGGAGCAATTGGAGAGATGATTAGGAAGTGAGTAAAAAGGGCAAGGGTGTGGAAGGAAGGGCAGGTGTGAGACAAAGAGAGGAGAGAGATACCCAGAGACCGTGAGGTATAAGTTTAGACAGGTATGGACAGGGTTGGGATGACCCTGATCAGGGCAGAGGGGTGAGTACCTGCAAAATCACCCAGTGACCTTTCTGGGCAGCTAGATCCAGCGTAGCCTCAGCCACTACTTCCTGTCCTTGCCCCAAAGATATATTGTGAAAATTCTTATTGTTGAAGGTATATCCAAGTTTTTTACCTGAAAGGAGGACGGAGTTGTCAGTACCATATCTGTGTTGAATGATCTGTGTTGTTTAATGTTCAGAAGGAAATCACTCCTCAAACACAGGTTTGAGCCTCATATGCTGACGTTTTTCCTTTTTGGGGGGTGGGGGCTGTAGGGGGAAGAGGGGCTACATCTTCCAACTTTCTGTTCCCAAATAGAAGGAAGCATTGTCTAGACCAAAGTTGCTTCACTCTACCTCCTCACTTAATCCCCAGGAATGGATGGAAGTGTTGATGCTCTTCCATACAGCTTCTATGTGAAGGCCAGGCCTTGGTCCTCCATCCTAGAGAGTACTGATTTGAAAAGTCTCAAAGGGTGGCAAGCATGTATGTGTGGCCCTAACTTGCTTTGTCCTCTGAATATATATTTCCCCTGGAATTTTACTGGGACATGTGACCAGCAGGGGCAGAATTCAGGTAGTCTGGCTTACGATACTTTATAGCATATTAACTGCCTTCCCTACCAATCCTAAGACATAGCAAAGTTTTAACTCATCATTTTGCATGAATTAGAGTAAAGAGGCAAGACACAGAGGGGCTTTGTTGCATAGGTGGGGACGTTCTGTTAGATGTGACTCCATAGCATCTGTTGGGTGTTGCTGGTGTTAGGAATGAAGTAAGGGAATAGCTGCACCAACACAAATTCACAGCCACATGACTCAAGCAAGGCAATGCTCGTGAGTTGTTTTCCAGCCCAAGAAAAAATTTACACAAAGAAATGACCTAATATAGTGGACCCATTTTACTTGGACATCAGCTATTAGCCCAATACAATAAAGTTTAGAGAAATTACATAATATTTTTTAGGAAAAAAATCATAAAAATGTATGATACCCTGAAGAAATCATTGAGCAATTTTTCTTGGAAGGTGAAGTACATAAGAAAAAAGACAAGAACTTTAAAAAAAAGAAAAGAATACAAATCTGTACTTGAATTTTTTAGTTTTAGAGGAACTAAGAAAATTGAATAAATGGTATATTAACTGTCAATATTGGACATTTCTTTTAAATACTAAAAGATATAGACTATCCTTTAACTGGATGAGACAAAGCAAAATGATGACTTTTTGTAGTGGAGAATAGTTATTATAGATTCAACTGAGATAAATGCAGGAAACACCCTTATTAAACTCTATAAATCCTAGCTGGCAATACATTGGATGTCAGCTTTAGAATCAGGGATATAAACAACTTATTCCAGAGAAAATACCAGGATAAAAGGTGCCTGGATTAGTAGATAGCCTTGGTGACATTTCTATTTACAAAAGAGCCTGTTTCTTCTCTTTATGAGAAAGAGAAGGATAAGGGAAAAGAGGGGCTTACAAAAGATTAGTTTGAAAACTACAGACCAGAAGGATTGCTGGGGACGATGTCTAGCTCTGCAGAGGCCAGCAAGGATCAGTGTGCATTAATCTAAGCTGCAGGCATGACGACGAGGCTGCAGAGAAAGAAATGGATCTTGCAGGTGATGAGAAGAGGGGAGATTTGATGGGATTTGCCTTGGCTGAACATTCAGCTAAATTTGACTGCATCACACTCGAGTACTGTGATGTGCCAAAGCAACCTTGCAGGGTCCTTCCATTTGCAACTTTGAGGCTCTTAGAATGCCTTTCTGGGTCATCAGAAAGCCTCCCTTGCTAGTTATGGTCTCTTGGGGTTTCACCTTCACATTATTTTATGTTATGACGTCCATGCCCAGACCTTCACTGCTTTTAACTTACTTTTCCCTTTCTCTTTCTCTCTCTCTTTTTGTTTTTGGTTAGATCATCATACACTTTAAAAGGTACCCCCATTGATATTTCTAGTACCCACCTGGAACCACATATACTCATAATATTATTAACTATGATTCCTATGCTGTACTTTACATCCCCATGACTATTAACTATTGATTGATACTTCTCAGCCCCTTCACCTTTTCACCCAGTCTCCCCACTTTCTTCCCCTCTGGGGACTGTCCGTTTGTTGTCTGTATCTTTGAGTCTGTTTCAGTTGTGCTTGTTTGTTTTCTGTTTGGTTCTCTAGATTCCATGTATAAGTAAGACAATATGGTATTTATCTTTCTCTGACCTTCACTTAGCATATGACACTCTAGGACTATCCACTCTAGGACTATCTACTTGCTATAGCAAATAGTAAGATTTTATTATTTTTTATGGCTAAGTAATATTCCGCTGGATATATGTGCTACAGCTTTTTAAAGATGGGCACTGGGGTTGCTTCCATTTTCTGGTTATTGTGAATAATGCTGCAACAAACATAGGGGAGCATATATTCCTTTGAATTAGTGTTTTGGGGTTCTTTGGATATATACCTAGATGAGATATCATTGGGTAATAAAGCAGATACATTTTAAATTTTTTTGAGGACCCTCCACACTGTTTTCCACAGTGGCTACACCAGTCTCCATTCCTATCAACAGTGCACGAGGGTTCCCTTTTCTCCACATCCTTGCCAGTGCTTGTTGTTTGTTGATTCAGTGATGGTAGCCATTCTGACAGGTGTGAGGTGATATTTCATTGTGATTTTAATTTGAATTTCTGCGATGATTAGTGATGAAAGCCTCTTTTCATAGGTTTATTGAACATACGTATATCATCTTTGAAGAAGGGCTTATTTAGTTCCTCTGCCTATTTTTAAATTGAAATTTTTTTTGGTGTTAAGTTTTAAGAGTTCTTTATAAAATTTGGATATTAATCCCTTATCAGAAGTATCATTGGCAAATATTTTCTCCTATTCCATGGGTTGTCTTTTCCTTTTGTTGATGGATTTTTTTGCTGTGCAAAAAACTTTTTAGTTTGATGAAGTCCAATTTGTTTATTTTTTTCTTTTGTTTCCCTTACCTGAAAAGATATATACAAAAATACTTTTAAGAGAAATGTCATAAATTTTACTGCTTATGTTTTCTTTTAGGAGTTTTATGGTTTTGAGTCTTACATTTAAGTCTTTAATCTATTTGAATTTTTTTGTTGTGTATGGTGTAAGAAGGTGGTTCAGTTTTAAATTTTTGCATATATCTGTTCAATTTTCCCAATACCATTTATTGAATAAACTATCTTTACCCCATGTATGTCTTTAACTTCTTTGTCACACATTAATTGACTATATAGGTATGGGTTTATATCTAGGCTCTCTATTCTGTGCTTTTGATCTATATGTCTGTATTTATGCCAGTATATTACTGTTTTGATTACTATTGCTATGTACTATAGTTTGATATCAGATAGCATGATAGCCCTAACTTTATTTTTCTTTCTTAATATTGCTGTGGGTATTTGGGATCACTTATGGTTCCATATAAATTTTTGGATTATTTGTTCTAGTTCTGTGCTATGTTGAATAAGAGTGGTGAAAGTGGATATCCCTGTCTTGTCCCTAATCTTAAGGAAAATGCTTTTAGTTTTTCCCCTTTGAGTATGATGTTAGCTGTGGGTTTGTCATATATAGCCTTTATTATGTTGAGATAATGTTTCCACTATCTTCACTTTGTTTAGAGTTTTCTTTATCATAAACCAGTGTGGGATTTTGTCAAATCCTTTTTCTGCATCTAGTGATATGATCATATGATTTTTTCAGAGCCCCTCCCCTTTTAATTTTATTTTTTCCTTTATTTTATTTTTTAAATATATTTTATTGATTATGCTATTACAGTTGTCCCATTTTCCACCTTCAATCCCCTTCACCCTAACCCACCCCCTCCCGCCCACATCCCCCCTCCTTAGTTCATATCCATGGGTCATACATATAAGTTCTTTGGCTTCTACATTTCCTATACTATTCTTAACCTCCCCCTGTCTATCTTCTACCTACCATATATGCTTCTTATTCCCTGTACCTTTTCCCCCTCCTTTCCTCTCCCACTCCCCCACTGATAACCCTCCATGTGATCTCCATTTCTGTGAATCTGTTCCTGTTCTAGTTGTTCGCTTAGTTTGTTTTCATTTTAGGTTTGGTTATCAATAACTGTGAGTTTGTTGTCATTTTACTGTTCATACTTTTTATCTTCCTTTTCTTAAATAAGTCCCTTTAACATTTCATATAATAAGGGCTTGGTGATGATGAACTCCTTTACTTGACCTTATCTGGGTCAAGCACTTTATTTACCCTTCCATTCTAAATGAAAACTTTGCTGGATAGAGTAATCTTGGATGTAGGTTCTTGCCTTTCATGACTTGGAATACTTCTTCCCAGCCCCTTCTTGCCTACAACGTCTCTTTCAAGAAACCAGCTGACAGTCTGATGGGAACTCCTTTGTAGGTAACTGCCTCCTTATCTCTTGCTGCTTCTAGGATTCTCTCCTTCATTTTAATCTTGGCTAATGTAATTATGATGTGCCTTGGTGTGTTCCTCCTGGGTCCAACTCCTTTGGGACTCTCTGAGCTTCCTAGAAGTCTATTTCCTTTGCCAGAGTGGGGAAGTTCTCCTTTATTATTTGTTCAAATAAATTTTCCACTTGTTGCTCTTCCTCTTCTCTTTCTGGTACCCCTATAATTCAGATGTTGGAACATTTAAAGGTGTTTTGGAGGTTCCTAAGCCTCTCCTCATTTTTTTTTGAATTCTTGTTTCTTCATTCTTTTCTGTTTGATTATTTCTTTCTTCCTTCTGGTCCACTCCATTGACTTGATCCCAGTTTCCTTCCCATCACTATTGGTTCCCTGTACATTTTCCTTTATTTCACTTAGCATAGCCTTCATTTTTTCATCTAATTTGTGACCAAATTCAACCAATTCTGTGAGCATCCTGATTACCAGTGTTTTGAACTGTGCATCTGATAGATTGGTGACCTTTTCATCACTTAGTTATATTTTTTCTGGAGCTTTGATCAGTTCTTTCCTTTGGGCCATTTTTCTTGTCTTGATGTGTCTGTTACATAGGGAGGGGCAGAGCCTTAGGTGTTCACCTGGGCAGGGCAACCCAGTGTCTGGGTTGTGATGCTGTATGTGGGGCAGGGGTCTGAGAGGGAACAATGGCACATGCTCCAGATTTCAGTCTCTTCTCCCACTTCCCTAAAGCAAATTGGGCCTTCCTGGTGCTGATTCCTGGGTGGGTGGGCTTGTGTAGGTTCTAGGACTCTGTTGGTCTCTCCAGTGAATTCTCTTGTGGGGCTGGGAGTTTCTCCCAGCACCTCAACCCCCACAGGTATTTTCAGTTGGTGGTTTGAAGCTTTATTTCCCTGTGCTGGGACCCTGGGTCTCGAGGTCTGTCTCGCTCCCCAGTTTCACCTGATTTATCTGTGTGCAAATGTGGGACCGCCTGGTACGCCAGCCACCTTTTGTGCCATGCCCCTCCACAATTTACCACCTCCCTGGGTCTGCCAGTCACCTCTTTGCTGTGAGCCCTCTCTGTCCTGGTTGCTTGACTCTGCCCATACTATAGGTCTGGATGAATGTGACTACTTTAACTTCTTGGTTATCAGACTTCCACACAGTTCAATTTTCTGTCAGCACTGGTTGTTTTTTATTTTTAAATTATTGTTGTCCTTATTTTGGTTGTTCGAGGAGGCACAGTGGGTATACCTACGCCTCCATATTGGCCAGAAGTCCCCTTTTTATGCTCTTGAAGTTCTCACTTTCTTGAACATCCTTATAACCACTGTTTTGAACTCTGTATCTGGTAGATTGCTTGTGTCCATTTCATTTAGTTCTTTTCTGTAGATTTCTCCTGTTCTTTTATTTGAGGTATGTTTGTTTGTCTCCTCATTTTGGATGCCTCTTTGTATTTGTTTCTGTGTGTTAGGCAGATATGTTGTCTCTCAGTCTTGTTAGAGTGGCCTTGGGTAGTAGGTGTCCTGTAGGACCCAATGGTGCAGTCTACCTGATCATCTTAGCTGAGTGTTTCAGTAATGTCTTCTGCATGGGTCATTGACCCCTCCTATTGTAGGTGAGTCTTGAATGCTGTTGCTCTGTCCATGTGTGGGGTTGACTTTTAGGCTTCCTGACTGTGAGGACTGACCCTGACCACAGTGTATGAGCTGTTGTGTGGGTGCTGACCACATGAAATGGAATTCTCCTCATCAGGGTCTAATGCCTGCCAAGATCTTCCTTTGGATATGCCACTTGTGGAACTAATTGGATCCTGCTCTGATGTCGTCTGAAGTCCACAACTGGGTTTGTTGGTCTGGGCCTCTTGGGAGGGACTCTAATGCAGGTCAATGTGAGACTCTGCCTGTGCCTGGCACTGGGCAACTTGTTTGGAGCTACAAAGTGATCCATAGTTTGTGGTTGCCCTTTTGGGCCTGGGTGTGCATGAGAAGGGCCAAATTGCACACCCAGGACAGCTTTCACCAGTACTGAGCCTGGGGGCATGTCAGTAAAAGGCCTAAGGCACCTTGAGATATGCCTCTGTGGGCCTCTGCCTGCTGGTTGCTTGTTAGGTTCAGTCATTGAAAGAGCCTGTGGTGGTGCATGAGTTGCATGAGGTAGGTTTTCAATGAGGTGCTAGGTAGAGGGGAGTAGTGTTTACTAGACTGATACAGATCAAACTTGGTGCCAGTGTTGTGTCTTAGGCTACGCGCAGAAGTCCCAAGGTACAGTAAGGCCAACTGCCACCTGCCAGATGTCTGCAGACCTTTGTGGTGGGTCAGGGTCTCAGGGACTCATCAGGGGGAGGCCAGCAGAGTTTATTAGGCCAAAAGAAACCAAGATTTGGTGGTGCAAAAGGAAGGCTCTGCACTGGTCAGGTGTGAGAGAGAAAAATGGCTGTTTTAGAGCCACACAACTTAGTCTGTCCCAGATCCTGTCAAACCCCCTGGAGAGCCTAAGCTTGGCAGGTAGGGCTGCCAGGAGTTGGGAACTTGGGGCTGCACTGGTCGGGCTCACAAAAAGGTGTGGTAAATGGCCCCTATCCAGAGCCACACAACTCAGTCTCTGACATCCTGTGTCCATCTGGATCTCTACACCCTGGCCCAGGAAGATGACTCATCCACAGGGCACAAGCTTAGCAGGGCACGGTGACAGAAGGTCAGGAGGGTGGGGCTATTGCATTCTCCCAGGCTGATGCCATATGGAAGGGAGGGCTCTACCCAAGAAAGATGGTGTCCATGGGCAGGGTGGGAAAGGGACTCCATGCAGTGACCCTGGAGGCTGTCTCTACAGTTCTCTCTCCAGAGCCACAAAACCCACACTCTTCTTGCACAACCCTAGTCTTCTCTGAGCTTCTCTCTCTCTGCCACATCCCAGGATGAGTGTGAATGAGATTTTGTGTGTTGGGCAGGGAAATGTAGGCAGGATAATGAATTCCTAAAGGTGTCCATGTCCTAGTCCTCAGAACCTGTATATAGGGATTCTGTGGGTGTGATTAAATCAAAGACTTTGAGTTGGGGAGATAATCTTGATGATCTGAGTAGTCCCAATATAGTCATCATGGTCCCTAAGAGGAAAAGAGGGAGCCCTGTTTATGCTTCCAACCTCTAGAACTGTAAAATAATAAATTAGTGTTATTTTAAGCCTCTAAGTTTACGATAATTTGTTACAGCAGCACTAGGAAACTAATGATATAAAATAGGCTGGAGGAATAGGGAGGAGCTGGGGAACAAAGTTCCTGTAAGCCCCTTAAGGAGTCTGGACTGCATCCTGAGGACAGTGTGCCTGTGCAAGGAGTGTGCTTGTATCTTCAAAATGATTGCTCCAGCCACAATAAGGGGAATGGGTGGGTGGAGGGACAAAGTCGCCTTAGAAACCTGCTACTGTGGATTTTACCTGACAGAGCCCAGAGCAACAGTCCCATGGTGTGGATTTGGCAATGACCCTGATTTCTGTATGGTTAGCAAATATTGAGTGTTGTGTAATGAGCCTTGAATCTGGAATAGAGAAACTGACAGATGCCAAGAGTAAAAGTGCATGGGATGGCGCAGCCTTGGCCCCGAGGCAAAGTTTTCTCACCTTGATTTTCCACATCTTTCAGTGGGTCCACCCCTGGAGACAGGATGAAAAATACGGGAGTGGCTGGTCCTGATTCTTCAAAGGAGGCTGCAAAGTCTAGTGCTCTTCCCACTGCATATTTGCTTCCTAATGTCTCCTCAACAAAATGTCTTCCAGGGAAAAAAAAGCACATGTGTGTTTATCAGTCACAAAATAATAACACTTGAGAAACAGAGGTCTGTAGTAATGGAATGATGTGCTCAAGGTCATGGGGTTGGTACTTACAGAGCTGGGACCAACTCTGAGAACTACCTACTAGGTTAACACTTAAAACCTGTGTTGTCATTTGCCAGTCTGCTCACTAGATTGGGGTTCCTTCTAAATCTCCATCCACCCAGGCCACCACTGACTCCTCTGTGAAGCCTGGTGTCCTGCCACATTGCCACCATCTACCAGAAGACTGCTAGGACCAATGGCTTCTGAAAGTTTGCAGGCAACTAAATTCTCCATACTTCTTATCCCTGTGATCTTCCACTTATAGTTTAACACCCTCTGTTCCCTCCTGTTCTACCATTATCTGTGTTTTCTTTCATCCTACTCTACTTACCAATGTTCCTTTCCAAACTGTCCAATTTTATACTAAATAAAACCTTGAAGCTGCAACTACTTCCTCACCATCTGGTCCAGCTCTTGGCCTTAGCTCTCTCCCGAGGACACATTTTTTCCTGTAGCCTTTCAGCTGGGCTCATTCTCCTACATCTGCTCTATCTCAGGATTGGAAGGCAGGATCATGACCCTGCTCACTGATGACTATTGTTTGTAAGCCATTACTTCTCTACTCATGTGGCTCCACTGCAGCTCATTTTCCCTGACTGTGTCACCACCACACCTGCTCATCCTCTGGTCACTGTACCCATTCATGGAACACTTGGGCACTTGGCTCATGGACTTGCACCAGCTGGAATGACATCACCGTCCATGTGGACAATCCTCCAAATTCTCAGCCACCTTCATTTCTCCCCCAATCCAGCCATCCAAGTCCACAGCCACACCCTCATCCTCATTATTACCTGGGAATTTTTTCTATGTCTGAAACCACAAATGGAAACACCCTGCTCTCTGACCAGACTTTCTTTCCTTACACTTCTCTTAGCAATTTACCTTCCTTTACTTCTTTTTTGTCCTTGTTCGTGCCACTACAAATGCTCTATCTGGGACTCCTTAGTGTTTTTTTTAATCATCCCCTTATTCTCTTTACTTCTTTCCTATCCAGTGTAGAGTCCATGACCTATAACTTTTTTCCTTTAAAACAACATTCTTGAGGTATAACTGACATACCAGAAAGTTCACCCATTTTAAGTGTACTATTCAATGATTTTTAATAAATTCACTAAATTATACAGTCTCACCATATACCAGTTTTAGAACATTTCATCCTGCCAATAAGGCTTTCATGCCTATTTAAATAATTGCTATTTCCACCCTTCAGCTCCCGGCAACTACTAATTTGCTTTCTGTCTCTATAGCGTGTATGGCCTATGACATCTAATCACCCTCTTGCCAAAAACTCACTTCCCCTGTCTAACTCTTATTCCAACACAACAACTTGGAATGGCCAGTGCTCTGGATCAACTTAATTTGGAATCTACACCTTGCTGTTGTACATATGCAAAGTCATCTAATAGTGAGCAATGGAGCCATGACACATGCAGACTTTTCACTAGGTGGACCCTCAGTGCTATTTGAAATTTGTTGCATTTCCCAGGTCAGCCTTCTTTCATTTTTTTTTCACAGACCCTATTTAAAACCTTTTGTACTCTCCTCAAATCTACAGCCCTGCTACCTCCTCTTTCATACAAACTCAGCTGAAGATCTTGCTCCCTGCTTCTCAGAAAATAGAAGTCATCAGATAAAACCGTTCTCAACTTTCTACCATCCTTCTACCAGTTTAACAACATCCACACCCATTTCTCTCTTTCTGTGATGAAAGAGATGTTATTCCTGCTAAGGGTGGCCCTTCCATCTGTGCTCTGGATCCCATCATCTCCTGCCACATTCATTCTATGTGACCAGTATCCTTTTCAGTGCTAATACTGATGAGTACCTCTTTCTACACTGTTCACCCACATATCAGGAAAATACATAGCAAACACAGGCCTCAGGAGATTTTGGATATTGGTACAAAGGCTCCCGTTACTATAAACAACTGGCTTTTGTGCTCATCCCTGCTAGTTTGCCCATAGTGAGACTGCTCATGCCTGCCCTTCCCCACCCCCTGTCCCCTACCGCATGGCGTAAGTTAGCCGGTCAGGCCGCATGGCTTTCATCATGCAGAGGCGCTGCAGGGCAGTCTTGTTCTTCCACTCCTGTGGGAGCTTCTCCTTCTCAGGACATTCTGATTCCACAAACTTCTTCCAGCTTTTGGCCGACCCCTCGATGTCCCGATCCAGATTATAGAATTCTTCCATAGATGAAAGTGCCTAGGAAATTTTAGAGAATCTTGCTCTAAAATGCAGTTTCTCAGAGCTATAATTTGCACTGTGTTGGAGGTCAAGGAGCAAGGTGGTATTATAGACATTTTTCTGTCTCATTTATACTATTTTCTGGAGCCCTGAATCTTCCTCCAGGTAGACTCAAGGAAGAGGAAGGATTTTGATCAGCTCACCTTTAGCAAACTGCCCCAATAATATACAAGGTTTAGCAAATGAAACGTTTGGAATATTAGCAGCAGAGACTGAGCAGCACCTGCCTGCAGGGTATTACAGGGAAAAGGGGACAGGAAGGGATGTCATGGAGCCTGGACATTAGGTGTCTGATTCCTCCCTTTCATTCCCCTATTCACTCCACCAGCCACTCCTGTCAGTTCCTCTCTCCAAATGTCTCTAAATCATTGACTGTGTATCAATGTCAACTTGAAAACTCTCACGAATTGCCTGCTTCCACAAGGATTGAGTCCAAATGCAAAACTTGTCAATCAAATCTCTTCCTTTAGTTCTTTGCTCCAATTCATCCAGTTAACCCAGGAACCTCCTGCTGTCCTACTCTGTCCAATCATGTCTGACCCCAACCTTGAAACCTTGCCAGACCCATCCCCACCTCCATTTCTTGGTCACACTGCTTCTACCACATCAGAGGTCCTGGTCTTCTCTCCGTTCTAGTGCTAGTCATGCCTGATTATTATTTTTGAATGTTCTACAAGTTGTTAAAATACAGTTCAAAGTCAGCTACCACCCTCCCTCTAACCTAGAACTCATAGTCTCCCACCCTTTTGTGACCACAGAGGTCATAGCTTTTATAGAGAGACAGACTCAGTTTTTAGGTATTTGACTGCTGATAGCTTTTCAGCGTTATCCCTCTCTCTTCCTCTTCAGCTCCACATCTAGGCAAACTGATAAGTAGGCCTGGGAACCCCCTCTGGTGCTGGGTGAAAGGCACTCACCAAGAGCCCTTGCCTGTGCCTAGAAGTCTCACCTCATAACTTCCTTAAGAACCCCAAAGCAGCCTCCTTTCCTGGCTCTCTCAATCCATTTATGGACTGCTCAGGGTGCCCTGATCTCCCCAGAAAGTCTTATCATGTGAGTAATAAACTTCTCCATACCTTCTCATGTATGTGTGTGGCCATCATCTGGTGATACTGGAACCACATTTGGGGGTGGGTCCAACCTATTTTTCCAGAGAACCCCACTCATTCACTTAGATACCAAGTTACCTGCAGCCTTTCTGCTATCACTCAATTCTGCTTGTACATTTGGTCTCCCCAATGAGAGCAAAAAGTAGGCTTTGTCCAAAGCACCTACCACAATGCCATGAATTTTAGGGAATCCACACATTCTTGTCATTTGAATTATTCACTCATTCATTTGCTATTTATTGAATACCTACTGCATGCCAGGTACTTGGGAATACAAAGGGGAACAAGAAGGCACATGCCTTCCAAAGGAGCTTGCAATCCTCAGCTCAAGAGGAAGAGGAGATGAGGGAGGCCTTAGCAAGTATGTAAAATCCTGTTGGGCAGAAAGAGAGGCAGAGAGAAGGGAATGGCATTGTATGGGGGAGGATCAACTAGAGCCAAAGTCTGCAGAGGGAAGTGTGGGGCATGACAGCAAGGAGTGTGACTGTGAGTCTTTTAGGTGACAAGGGGAAGGTAATTATGACTGAAGAGGGACGGACACATTTGACCTGGGCTTGCCTAGCTCTTTGCCCATTTGGGGGAACCCCTGTCCTGTCTTTTGTGCCTTTTCCCATGGGCTCTGGGTTTCTCAGCTTCACTGCGACCACTGAGAGTAGGGAACACATCTTCATGTGTGCTAAGAAGTGGTGTGGAGTTGCATGTGGGATGCTGGAGGAGGTGCCAGGAAACAAGAGTTTTGGTCCCAGGGACACCTCTTATGAGCCTTTTCTGACTTGGACTGGCTTTTAACTTTTGTAGGCTTTGATTTTCTCATTTGGAAAATGAGGTCAAGTAATCACTTGCACAACTCATACCCTAATGTAAATGCAGTGCTCTGAAGCCTGTCCTTGTGCTTTCTCGGGGCTTCGGTAGTTATTGAACTGTGATCACTGGTTTACTTGTCAGTTTCTCCCACAAGATGGTGAGTTGCCTGTGGGCAAGAACTTTCTTAGCTATCTTTGTATGCCTTGGGCACAGCAGTCTGCCTGGAACTTAGGAAGCACTCAATGAATGCAGTTCGACATCTGGGCAGCCAGCAGGCAGGCTCTTGACAGGGTGAGAAAAGCTGCAGCTGCTGTAATTATTTCTCTCTGCGCAGTGGAACTCGAGTTTATCTTCACTTGAGCAGCACGTCAGCCCTCTTCCCAGCTTGCATCATCATTACCCCTTCTTCGGTCCCATTGCCCCATCTGGCATCACCACGATGCTGAGAAAATGACACTGCCTTCAGTGCTCCCAGCTGCTGAGGTGGGGTGGAAACATGCTTTCTTGGAGCTCTGGATGGAGCACAATTGCAACATTTAATCTTCCAAATGAGGGAAAGGCATTTCTAATAAGTTAAATGGAAATGACTAATTAACCTAATTACATTGGACTGTGCAGCAAAATACACTGTGCTAAATGGGCACCCAGAGTGGTAGTGAGGGGCCTTTTCAAAGGCTAACAAAGGCATGTATCACAGATGAGATTTTCTAATGAAGAGCAGAACATGCCCAGTACCTTAGGGTTCAGCATTGATGAAACTTAAATTCTTACCAAGGATGCTAATAAAAGCAATAGTTCATCACAAAGATTTCATTCATTACCTGCCTATGAGTTCTTCTGGGAAACAAGTCAATCCATCTTCCTCACCAGACAGAACAGTTAAAGAATTTTGTTTTATCATGTCCTATTCAATTATTTTGTTTCTTTAGGCTAAAATCCAACTGAACACTTAAAAAGAGCGTTTATCAAAGGCTTCAATGATGAGCACACACAATGCATTGTATTTTCACCTGCTCATGTCTTGTACTGTGATTCAGTTTGATGGGGCTGGACTTGGCTGCTCCACAAAACAAACTCAGATACACACACACACACACACACACACACACACACACACACAGATAAAACTTCACTCATTTGCAAAAAAGCCTTTGAACAGCAAAATGAGCTTAGCCCACAAAACCAAACAAAAAAAGCAAAGGGAAGAACAGAAACCAAACAACCCTTTTTTTGAAAAGAGGATGGAATTAAATTGCACAGTAGCTTTAGAGTTGTGAAGAGTACTTTTGAATCATTCATTCTTCGTGATTTCTGCTGCAGAGGGCTTTGTGGGATAATAGATGGAAAGACAACTGGATTTAGTCCAATTGGGCAACTCACAAATCCTTCAAGTTTTTCCTTCTATGGACAAATTTTATAAGGCACAACCCATATCAACCACAGCATGTATGCACCTTAAAGATGGGTAATTAATAATTGTAACTGCAATGCAGTGAACTGTGTCCCCCGAAAAGGTATGTTGAAAAACTAACCTCCTAGATTTGTAAATGTGACCTTATTTTAAAATAGGGTCTTTGAAGGTGTAACCAAGTTAGAATGAGGTCAGTAGGGTGGGCCATAATCTAATATGACTGATGTTCTCACAAGAGAAGAAGAGACACAAAGACACACAGAGGATGGAGGCAGAGATAGAAGTTATGTTGCAAGAAACCGAGGAACACCTGGGGCAACCAGGTGCCAGAAGCAGCAAGGAAGGATCTTCCCCTGGAGGCCTTTTGGAGGGATCATGGCTTGCCAGAACCTTGATTTCAGACTTCTAGCTTCCAGAAGTCTGAGATGATAACTTTCTGTTGTTTTGAGCCACCTAGCTTGTGGTACCTTGTTATGGCAGCCCTGGGAAACAAATATAGTAGCTGTAACCATAACCAGCTTCTATTTACTGAACATTTATATGTCTGACATAACCCTGTGAGGTAGGTGTTATAATGATCATTTTGAAGATAAGAAAAGAAAGTCTCAGGGGAACAAGAAACATGTCAGAGGTCATACACACTGGAACTTGAACTTGAACCCAGGAATGTCTGACTCCAGAGCCTGTGTTAACTGGTTGATCCCTGTCACTGCTCCCATTCTGCAGAGACACTCATCAGAACTGCTTTCCAGGATTTATCTTCCACAAGGGCATCAGACTATGTCATTGTTCTCAAGTTCTGGGGCAGTGCTGTCCAGCAAGAGAACCACTGGCCACATGTGAATATAGAGCACATAAAATGTGGCCAGGGTGACTGAAGAAACACATTTTTATTGTATTTAATTTTAATTATTTAAATTTAAGTTTAGAAATTGGAACTTGCTTTAGAAATTGCAAAACTTTTAAGTATGTTTGGAACAACTTGGGTATATGAATCAACTATTTTAACCCTAAAATTTTATGAAATATAAATTCAAATTAAGTATTACTGATGAACATTAAGCATCTAATTGAGAAGTGCTATAAGTGTAAAAAATACACACCTGAATTCAGGCTTAATACAAAAATATAAAATATTTAATATTTTATTAGTAACATTTATAACAATTATATATTAAAATGATAATACTTGGGCTTATTGGGTTAGATAAAAATATATTATTAAAATTAATTTCATTTATTTTTACAAATTTTTTAAATTGATTTTTTTTGAGTGAGAAAGAGGGAAGGAGAAAGACATATGGGTTTGTTGTTCTACCCATGCATGCAGCCACTGATTGACTCTTATATGTGCCCTGACAGGGGATCAAACCCACAACCCAGGTGCATCAGGCTGATGCTCCAACCAATGGAGCTACCCAGCCAGGGCCTCACTGATTTCTTATTACTTTTTAAATATTTGGCTACTAGAATATTTTAAATTACATATATGACATACATTGTATATTTTTTGGACAGTGCTACCCTGGAGCATACATCCATTCATAACTTGTGTAGCCTAGAAGAGTTGATGGTTTTCCACACATACATTCTGCATTTATTATAATTATTCTTAGGCATTTTGTAATTTTTGATTTTGTTGTTGTTGTGAATGGAGTTTTCCCTTGTTTCTTTCCCATGTATTATTCCCCTTCTCATTTGCCAGATTGGGTCCAGAATGACAAACTAAGTTAATAAATAAAAATCAAATCACACCTTTATTATTTAAATCAGGGATCAGCAAACTGCAGTCTGCAGGGCCAATCTGGCTCACCATCCATGTATGCAAATAAAGTTTTACTGGAACTCAGCTATTCCCACTTGCTTATCTATTGTGTGTGACTTGGGCCGGGCTGAGCAGTTGTGACAAGGTCTGACCCTCAAAGTCTAAATATTTATGATGTGGCCCTGTACAGAAAAAGTTTCGTCACCCCTGATTTCCAGACAGCTGCAAGAATATTTTAAAAATAGCCACCAACTCTGAAAAAAAAAGGTAGAGAAACATTTTGGGCAGTGGCAGCATGAGTGGAATGACCCTTGAATCTCCTAAGATGAATCCTTTGAAGGGGAAAGCATGCATATAAGTGATTAAATGTGGGGCTCAGTAATAAAGTAAATGCAACTCAGATGGATCTCAAGGGAATGATGCTGAGTGACCCAGCCAGTCCAAAAAGATTACATATTGAATATTTCCACTTACATGACATTCTTGAGATGACAAAATTAGACAAATGGAGAACAGATTAAGTGGCAGCCAGGCATTAGGGATGGGGGAGGGAGGAGGCCGCTATGATTATAAAGGGTGATGTGAGGGATCTCGGTAGTGATGAAATTTTCTGTATCTTGACTGTGGTGGTGATTACATGAACCTTCACATGTGACACACACACATGTACACACAAAATGAGTGCACAAGAAACTGGTGAAATCAAAACAGGTTGAGTGGATTGTATCAATGTCAGCTTCCTGGGTGTGACATGGTACTACAGAAATGCAGGATGTTACCATTGGGGGAAATGGGGTACAAGGAATATCCCTATTATTTCTTATAATAGGCATGCAAATCTACATTGTCTTCAAATCTGAGTAGCATATATAAAGAGAAAGCCAATCACATTCCTTCAGACTCATACTTTTTTGTGCTGTGAAACAAAAAATGCAACAAATGTGGAAGATCATAGCCCTGTCCACTCTGTGTGCAGGGGCCAGTCCCCTGACAGCGCTGGTCCTGCCCTCGCTGCTCAGTCAGGTGGGACCAGTTGGCTGTCCCCATGGAGGGCAGGCCTGGGAGGGTTGGGGCTGGTTCATTCAGTCAACTGTTACTTTTCATCATCGTGTGGGACCTGTGAATGCAGGCATGGTTCCTATTGATCTTTTCAGTGTTCATAGAATCCCATCTTCAGCAAGCTGAGTAACACGGACAGAAAATGAGCTTTGTTCTCAGGAAAACCAGAATTTGAGTCCTGGATTTGCTACTTATAATATGCAGGACCTTGCTTTCTTCATACTTTAAATGGGAACAGGCAATCCCTATCTCCCAGGTGAACATGAGACTAAAATAAGGTAATGCATTTCTAAGGTGCTCAACAATTGTGAACTATGACAGACCACAGATAATCCCAGGCTGCTCTGAGGCTGAGTTAGGATTCACAGGAAGAAGCCTGAACAGAATCTGGCTTCTGTTTCATGGAAGTGCTGTCTCCATCCCAGCCTGAGAGCCTCACAGAGGAGCCTGAGCCTGTTGCAGCCTTAGACACTGGAGGGTGAAAGGCAGCTCAGCTGTGTCAGAGCAGTGAGCAGGATCTTACTGGTCCCTCACACCCTGGAGGCAGAATTCTCACACCAGCCAGTACCAGCTAGTCCTCTGTCCCCTGTCCTTGGCCCTCTGCTCAACCTTCCCAGCTCTGCTGTGGGGTGCACCTGTGTTCAAACAGGTCCACGATGAACCCCAAAAGAGAGCCCTGCTGAATTCTTGGGGACAAGTATTAGAGAAACTCCAGGAGATGAGAACTTCACCTTTCTAGGGACTGGTACTGACCTTGATGGTACCCCAGGCCTGGTGGGAGAGGAAGTCCACCGGACTGGGGGTGCTGGTCTGCACTGGAGCTCGAAGCAGGAAATCCAGCTCTGTGGTGACTGCCTCCTGGTTCAGGAGGAGAACCTGTGAGTGGGGGAGGGATACCATACTTCCTTAGCTGGTGGCAGTCACAAGGTCACCACACAGTGTGACTGTTGTTACTCTAGCACCAGAACTTGCCCATTGATTTTGATTGATAAAATGTGGTGTGAATAAAGGCTAAATCTGCCCTGGCTGGTACAGCTCAGTGGACTGAGGGCAGGCTGTGAACCAAAGGGTAGCCAGTTTGATTCCCAGTCAAGGCACATGCCTGGGTTGCAGGCCAGGTCCCTGGTGTGAGGTGCATGAGAGGCAACTACACATTGATATCTCTCTCCCTTCCTCTTTCCCTTCCCCTCTCTCTAAAAATAAATAAATATTTTTTAAAAGAAAGGAGATATCTCTGTGTATCACCTCTGCGTGCTTCTGTTTTCATATCAGTGTGATGTAATTGCACACGGTGAATGACTGCATAAGTGGTTTATGGTTTATGTGTCAATCATAAATGCCATGGAATACGTTTCTGCCATTTACTGAGAAGATGACGCACACACATGACATGATTTGAGGACAGTGTCAAACTAATATATGAATATATGCAAAATAGAAGTGCATGTATAAATCAATAATGCTACCGAGTTTCTAGAATAAGGGAGTGGCCAGAAAGCAGGGGAAGGGGAATTTATTTGACTAAACTTTCTGTAATGGTTTTGAATTGGGTCTTGGAGAAGCTAAGGGATGGGACTGTTTAAACAGGAAGGGGAGGCTTTCCAGGGAGGAGGTGATGGGAAGTGCAGAGACTGAGAGGGAATCAGTCAGGTGTATTCAGGTAAGGCATCGTCTTGTTTGCACTAACTCATGCTGAGAGGTGCCTGGGAAATTGCTTTCCCCTCTTCACATGTTATTCTCTGCTGAGGAGTTACAGACAGAAATATTCACAAAGGAAAAATAATTTTGTCAGTTTGAGAAAAAGTCTCTAAGGAGATAATTGGCTAGAAATGGTAGATGAGGTGGAGAAGCCCTTGTAAGATGGGGCTGAAATATGTACAAGAGGAAAAGAGTACAAGCCGGGTTGAGGCAGGGGTGAGGGGGCTCCTTGGGGCCGGGGAATAAGCTGCAGGAAGGAGATGAGTCTATGCTGAGGCTCCAGTTCCTTCTGTGAGGGCCAAGCTGCCATTTCTGCCGGCATGGGGAACACATAGGTTAGAGATGAGCCACACTAACACTCCCCAGGAGTCCAGCCCTAGAAACGTGCAGAGTCAGTGCAGATATTCCCAGCCCTGGAAATATCTGATTTTGAGAATTAGAAGAGGTCTCAGATGGTCTGTTCTGTGCTCCTAATTTATATATGGGAAAAAGTTCCAATGCTAAAAGATAAGTACAAGGAGATAAATTTTCTTGTTTTTTTTTATGTTAAAAGAAATAAAAGACAAGCATTTCTAATTAACATTGGAAGACTCTAGTGCTCCCAAACCCTTGAGGATCATAGTTCTAAAAGATATTTTTAAGGTCAAGATTGCTGTAACTACAGAAAGACATTTGCAAATTCATATTCCAGGGGGATGTTGGGACATTAAACTTGCACCCCAAAATTAAATAATTAATGAGGGAGTCTCTAAAAAAGTTCTTACTGTATCTCAGAAAGTACCTAGTTATTAGTATGGCCAACCAGTTTTATCTCGGGGCTGGCTTGAATTGATTGGTAGTGGCTGTTGGAGGGGTATGTTGAGGAGGATCTTAGATCATCCAGCATCAGCAAGAAAACGTGCAATGATTGATCAAGCAGCTCTGGCATGAGTGGGACAGTATGGGGAGCATGCATATACCTAACAGGACCTTCTTGTCTGACCTCTCTGCTTAGAGCTCAATAACCTTGACATGCTATAAAAATTGATGTTAAAAGAAGTTATTTATTTATTTTTTATACTTGCTGATTGGGCACTAGAAAATGACTTGTTTTCTGGAAACTTCTCCAATTCATTTTTACCTGAAAGGTGAGCTGGGCAAGGTAGGTCAGCTTGTCACACTCGAAGAGCCCGCGGGTGGTGTACTGGTACACAGAGAAGGTGATGTTGTCTATCAGGTTGGTCAGTCGCTCCTGGAGGCTCTCAGCAGGGCCAGCCCTCTGTACAGCCTTCTGGAAGGTGGTACTGAAGGCCTGGGGGTAGGGGTGCAGGCAGGACATAGATGATTTACACAGGTGCCTTTGTTTACAGTGAGTAGCCCTACCTGTGAAGAACATTATAATTTCTGAGTCACAGAAACATTTTCCCATCATATCCTGCCAACAAGGGCCAGCGGCAACAAAAAGACTTTTGTCTTTGTTTATTGTTTTCTTAGTTTGCTCATATGAATTATTATGTTGTCACAACATGGGGAAAGCTATGAGGCATGCAGAGAAGAGCCTACATTTTGATTAGTGAAAAATAAATCTCCAGTGGCCAAAATAATTAAATCAAATAAGTTTGTTGCATAACTAACCAAATAAAAAGTAAACACAGTCAACAATAACCAGTGAGGACCATTATTCTATCCATTAGATTTTAAACTTTTAAAAAATCTTTCTTTGAAGATTTTATTTATTTATTCTTAGAGAGAGGGGAATGGAAGGATAAAGGGAGAGAAACATCAGTGTGTGGTTGCCTCTCACACACCTCCTACTGGGGACCTGGCCTACAACCCAGGTATGTGCCCTGACTGGGAATCAAACCAGCTACCTCTTGCTTCACAATCCACAATCCACAATCCAGCCAGTGCTCAATCCACTGAGCCACACCAGCCAGGGCTAGATTATAAAACTCTTGATTGCAGAACCAATGTTTTGTACAACTTTGTTGTCTTAAAGAGACCCTTGTACCTGACAGGCCCTCAGAATATTTTTAATTGGTTACTTTTCCTTTGGTAATGATCAGAATCTCAGGTGCTCTTTTCTCTCTGTTCACTCTGCAGTCATTTGATGGGTCCCTGTACATGTCTGTTTTCCTCATGGGCCCTCCCTGCAAAGTTGGGAACACAGGATGCTTTGGGGGCCTCCTCTGAACTAGTTACGGGCATAATATAAATAAAACTCATATGAGTCAGTCAACTTTCCATTGTTTTAGACTTAGATAAAGACTTTTTAAAAAATACATTTAAGAATGTTGCAATTTGAATGTTATATGATTAGAAGGAATCATTAAAAAATCAAAATATAATTGGTTTTTTCACATTTTTGGCTATGCAGCTTTCTTTTTTCTATTTTCATTTTGTTGCTTTAAAAAAGATTTTATTTATTTATTTTTAGAGAGGGGGGAATGGAAGGAGAAAGAGAGGGAAACATCAATGTGTGGTTGTCTCTTGCATGCCTCCCACTGGGGACCTGGTCTGCAACCCTGACATGTGCCCTGACTGGGAATTGAACCTGCAACCTTCTGATTTGCAGGCCCACACTCAGTCCACTGAGCTACACCAGCCAGGGCTTTGTTTTGTTGCTTTAAGAAGAAAAATAATCTTGGAGCTTTCTAACACCAGACCTTTGAAATGCAATGGAAAACAGAAGATTTGTACCTCAGTCTATCCTCATTTGCAAAATGGGGGAAAACATGAATGAATTCCTCTGTCTAGTCCATAGTGCCATGGTGTTTCTTATTAATGAAGCTCTTGCAGATTTTCTTCATTCAATTTTGATGAGCTGAGCAAAATCTTCTGCCTACCCTCACCCCAGTCCATTATGATGTTCACCCTTACTTGGTAGGCTTTCAATTGGAGTAACAGCTTGTTGCAAGTGGATATGTTATCCAGCACCACACAAAGCAGTTAGGGAAGCTTCTCAGTCTACAAAGACTGAGTGGATAGTTTCCCCCAGGTGGTTACTATGGCTTTTGTCTAAAACTCAGAATGACAACGACCAGTAAAGAATCTCTAGTTCTAAGTTTCAACAAGGTGATTCACAATTCTGGAAAATATCTAAATACATTTTAAAAACCTAGGTACATTTAGCCTTTTCTTTCCACTAGAGTACTTTTGCCTTTCTTTTCCTTTCTATCCTAAAAAGAAGTCCCCTTTTCCTCTTATTTCTGGTTTTTGAATGGCTCTGGTCCTGGGCCTGATCTTGCCTTCTGTGGCTTCCTCCAGAAGGTCTCTCCTGCCCACAAGATCTTATTTTGGCTCTAACTACACCTGTTGCTTTTTTAGGGCCCTTATCCATTACCTTTGTATGTTAGTTTTTTTCACCTTTTCATTTATACCAGATTGCAAGCACATCGAGGTGGGGGACAGGCCTTACTGACTCTTGTCATTCCCAGAATCCAGCCCAGCTTTTCACATATAAAAGGCACTGAAAAGATTTGTTACAGGAATAACTGAGTCCTGCTGGTGCCCTAAAGAGCTTAGGCAAACTGTGAGGCTGCCCTGGACCAAGGTTCTCAAACTCAAATGCTTTCAGGGGCCAGGTGTGAGGGTCCAGGTAGGGGTAGGGGCTGCAGCAACCTGGAGGGAGGACCATGCCTGCCTAGGAAGCAGCCACCCCTTGGCTCTAGTGGCTTTATGCCATGTGGAGTGTGGGCTCAGACTGCCATATCTCCCAGACTTTCACGAGAAGCCAGAAATTAAGATTTGTATGCATCTCCTTCTTTTAAAATCTTTGTAACCAATGAAAGTGTTGCAAAAGTCCTCTGAGGGCTAAGGAAAACAGGTTAGCAGGCCCTTGGGCCTCCTGTGCCCTATGTTCTATTTGCTTCAGCCTATCAGATTCTTCTCCTTCCAAGCTCTTCTAGAAAGATTAGCCCTCTAGCTGTGCTCCCACCTGCCGCCATGCACACAGCAGAGGGAGCTGAGCCTTCCATCCATCCATCCGTCCGTCTGCAGGAAAGCCTGGGGAGGTGTCTGCTCACTGGGGACACCCTGGCACCCTGCAAGTGCGTTCTGTTGATCCTCTTCTAGCGTTTGGCTGAGTTTTGAAGAAAAATGTCTCTATAATTAAATTCCACCTTAACTATGTCATAAACTTCCAAGTTCATATTAAATCTGACTTTTGAAGAGTTTTTGCATGTCTATAAGCAAATACACACATTTTAATATACTCCTCCAAACACTTTGGAAAACTGGGATGTGAGATTGTGGCCTATCTGTGGTTCTGACACTTTGAGAAAGCCTCTCTCTTCACTGCCAGGAACAGGAACTGTAAAACCCAACCTCAAGCTAAAGCCAAAATGACTTTTGCTTTAAATCGCAGAGAGCTTCTGAGTTATTGTTGTTTTAGTATGTTCTGAAGACATTTACTTTAGCTCCATATTATTAAGCATTTAAACCTACTTTCAGAGATCAAGCTGATCAGTGAGCAGTTTTTTGCCATTCTTAATAATGAAATGGGGACCCCAAATGCTACCTCCTTACAATTAGAGCTTCCAGTGACAAAACAAGCCTACATCATGGTGCTGTTGCTGAAGAACAGCTCACAATGTATTTTTGAACACATGTTTTCATGGGCTTTGTCTGATTTCTTTTTCTTTTTTCTCTCTTTTTAAAGATTTTATTATTTTATTTTTAGAGAGGGAAGGGAGGGATAGAGAGAGAGAGAGAAACATCAATGTGCGGTTGCTGGGGGTCATGGCCTGCAACCCAGGCATGTACCCTGACTGGGAATCCAACCTGCGACACTTTGGTTCACATCCCGAGCTCAATCCACTGAGCTATGCCAGCCAGGGCTGATTTCTTTTTCTTAGGAAGTCACGGAGCTCAGCTGTAACTACTCTTGGAACTAGGCAGTGATCCTGTAGTTATGAGGCTTATCATGCTAACTTTTATACAGTTTTTAAATATTTTATAATTCTTTTACATGAGGTTTTGACTTGAATGTAAGACCAAGTGTTGAATTTCTTTTAAAATAAAATATTGCCAACATAGTTCAGTGAATCTATAGCAATTGTGAGCTGAAGGACAGAGGTTGGGAAATGGTGATATGCCATTTCCAGCTAAATGAGTCCAGGTACTAGGATCCCCTGATTACTCAGCTGCACACCTTCGTCTCCACACCTTGATGTCCATGTGGCAGTTGACCTTCACAGAATGAGGTGTGAAGCTCTGGTGTGTGTCTGCATGTCTGTATGTCTATGCCCCTCTCTCCCACATGTGTGTGTGTCTGTGTGTCCTATGTTTGTTGGGTTAAACCAAATAGGTTGTCCAGAAATGCTCCACCACCCACTAATGCCTCTTCAATTGTTGTTTTTTTTGGTGAATTCTCTAGAGGAGAAAGATACATAATATTTGCAGGGATACACTTAAAATTTGTGTCTTTTCCTTGAGTAAGATAAGTTAAGTCAGCATTTAGAATTTGCTAATGTCTTTGGTTTTAGAAATATTTCAACAACCATAAAACAGTAGTTTTGGGATATAAAGGTAATAAGAAAAGTATAAATAATTTGAGGTTAGTCTATCATTATTTCCTGCTTTGGTTTTAATGGATATGAACGACACACACATTTGATTGTTGCTATATATTTTAAGCTCTTTGGGGGCAGGGATTACTTCTAATATTTCTAGGCATCCTCTTCCACACACTTAGTGAACACAGCACCTGCCACATCATAGTGCTTACTGAATGAGTGAGGTTGAGATGTGGTATAGCATCTCCTCTGTTTCAGCCAAATAACCAATGAGTTATGAGAGACCCAGTTAAAGAGCTGAGGAAAATAATATAGGTTTGAAGCTGCTCTTCTGCATTTGAGCTTAAAGAGCTGCCATAGCTAATGAAAGCACATGGATAATCTCCCATGGAGACTTATGCTGGTTCTATGATACTGCTTTATTATGATTATGCAAAAAGCCCCAGGTGGGAGTCACCTTGAGAGAAAACTGGTACATGGGGTGGATCTTGCTGAGGTCATTCATGATGAAGTAGAGCAGAGAGGCTCGGGCAGCAGCTGGTCGATAGTGCTCTCGGGCCTCGTTGATTTTTGCTTCGGTCACATTGGCCTCCTGGAACTGTCAGAAAAAGCAATAGAGGTCCATTGTTCAGACCAACCTGAGAATCAACTTGGTCTCTCTGCGTAAGTACATATGCGTCTGTGTGTGGGGTGGGACAGATTGGGATGGTGGTAGTGGCTGGAGGGTTAAGAAAGCCACTGTGGTATTCCTCAACAGAGCTTGGGTAAAAGAGATGATACATTTGAGTCTTCCCCAAGAGTGGGGTGTCAGCTCATCCAGTGGGGTAACATGGGTTACACATGACTCCAAACTTCATGTCTAACAAGAAAGAGTTCATAGAATCACAAAAATATATATTGAAAGTCAACCAGAATTCCAGGTGGGAAAAATCCAGTAAAAGAAGCACCATCTAATCTTCTGTTTTCTTAGGTTTTATGAAAATGTTAATATACTAATTCACAAAGAAAATGTCTCTCAGTGGAATATTCTATTTTTAGCAAATTACTTATTAGACGTAAAAATAAGAGAACTAAGCATCAGAAAGAGGGATTCTGTAAAAACACACCACTAAATACAAACCTCAGTCTGACCTGCCTCATGCTCCAGAATAGAGTGAAACTACTGTTAATTCATGAGAGTCTCACAGGAAAAACAAACAAACAAAAAAACCACAAAGACTTTTATGGAAGATGAGCTTGCAGTAAGCAATTAAAACTTCAGGAGGAAGTGTTACCAAAGGGGGCAATTAGAAGACCCAACCACATAACTCAAAATCCCAGGACTAGCATCCCAAGAGCTGAAGATGATCATACAATCTAAAGCTCATCAGTAACTAATTAACCTTAAAAGCAGTAGAGGTAAATAAAGTATAAAACCAGAACTATATATATAAAAAAAGACATTATCTGAAAAAGCACTAGTTAGAACTCCTAAAAATAAAAATACAGATATTTAAATGAAAAACTCAGCACATAGATTAAATAATTCACTCAAGTTGTGAAGAGAATAAACAAACTAGAAGATAGATATGAGGAAACTGTTACAAAAGCAATGCAGAGAGAAATAAAGATGGGAAATATGTAAAAGATGCAATGAAACTTGGCAGACTTGGCACATGGAATATGAAGATTCAAAATACATCTTACAGAAGTAAGCAGAGAATAGACAGAATGAGGGAGAGGCAGCATTTGAAACTACAATAGTTATGGCTTTTCCAAAAGTAATGAAAGACCAGAGCTCTTTCTTTGAAACAGTCAAGGTCAAAGAAACTCTCCACAGACCATTGAAGAAATAATTATTTGCCTTAATTAGAAGAAAATTGAACCCAAAGGAAGAAATGAAATATAAGAATTTCTTAAATATAGAGCTAATGTAAATAACAGACTTTTCTAAAAACCACAACCAGTTTGGAAGTAGTAGGTAAAAGCAAGGTTGAACTAAAACATAAAACAGTAACAGCAGATGGGAGAGGATGATCAAAGTGTTCTGAAATCCTTACATTATTTTGGAAGAGGCTAGATATATTGCTGAATTTTAGACTTTGTCAAATTAATGTCTCTATTGTTAAATCACATATTAAATGAAGTATATTTTTAATGTATACATGAAATGAGGTTAATCAAATAAAATAGAATGAATAACTTTAAAATCAGCAAAGGATAAAGGGAGGATAAAGAAAAATCAAGAAAGGAGAAAAAAACGAAAGGCATGATTAGGAGAAAACACAAGTAAGATAGTAGAAAGGAATATAACGATATCTGTAATGTTAATAAATGTAAATTGGTTACATTCAGTAGTTAAAAGACAATGGTGCTCAGAAGGGAGTGGGTGTGAACAGGAATCACACAATTGTGCATATTGGTGTTATCACAGTCCCATACTCTTCAAGCTCACTTGGGTCCTTAATGCTGCCCATTAATCTCTGTGTCTTTAGTCAACATTCATTTCCATTTCTTCCAACAACTATTGTAAACCTTCACTCTTCTCCCCAAGCCCTCCATCTCACCATCATTCCCTCTATTGGCAGATAACTTGACTCATGCTTTCACAGATTATATAGAGACCATAAGGAAGAGATTTCCTTAATTTTTGCCTTCCCTTCTATTTCCTTAATTTTCCGTCCCCCTACCTGAGTTGTCTATATGCCCATGAACCATTTCTAGATTCATGTTTTCCCCCTAGCACCTATCACATTGGAACAAACTCTCCATCTTTCTAAAGATAAGCTCCGTGTCTTGGCCAGGTGCTCAGTTGGTTAGAGTGTCATCCCAATATGCCAGGATTGCAGGTTGCTCCCTGGTCAGGGCACATACAGGAATCGACTGATGAATGCATAAATAAGTGGAACAGCAAACTGATGTTTATCTCTTCCTGCCCTTCTCTCTTTAAAATCAAAGAAAAAAAAAGTTCTTGCACAATGATCGATGACTACTAGAGTTAGTGGGATGATCACATTGTAAGGTATAAAAATGTTGAATCACTGCATATACACATGAAACTAATGTAAGTATATAAGACTGTATACAAATTATACATAAATTAAAAATAAAGATAAGCTCTTCAATGGTGACCTGAATTATATTTCTCCTGAGTTTCTTATTTACCCCACTCTATTAACCATTCCTTGTCATTCCTGTAAATTCAACTCTTCTTGGTAACTATTCCCTTTTGCCTTACAATCCATGCACCTTCCCACCCCCAGCTAAGTAAGACCATAATGCTCAGCCTCGTCCATCTGAGGGGGAAGAGCCTTGAAGGATTGGTGTACTCTTTAAGTGGCCGTCATTTCTGTCCTTACTATTTCATAGTTTGGCTACTTTAAAGAATTGCCTCTACTCACCTCTCCTTTCCCATCTCCCACTTACTGTAAGTCTAATGCAGGCTTCTGCTTCTCCTACTTCACTGAAACTATTCTTCCCAAGATCATTCATAACTCCATTTTGCAAAATGCAGTGGATACATTTCAGCCATATCTTGAGTTCTCAACATCACACAACACTGTTGACATCCTTTCCTCTCGAAATACTTTTTTTGTAATACCTTATTTACCTGCTTTTCCTTCCATCTGTCTGCTCTATTCCATTCTTCACAGCTTTACTTCTCTTAAAATGTATTAGTATTCTTCAATGCTCTACTCCCAGTCTTATTGTGTTATCTGCACCCTGGGTTCTTGTGATCTTCCAGGATAGAAGTCAAGAGGGATCACCAGAAACCTCTAGAGACCCTGGTGCATTGGTCTGGAGCCAAACCCAGGTCTCCCACACAGCAGGCAAGAAGTTTACCATTGAACCCTCCTGGGTTCCTGTGAAATCCTGAGACAGAAATCAAGAGTTCACCACAAGAGTAGTTATCAGGCAAGAGGTTTATAAAAAACTTGTGTGCTGAGGGAAACAACAATTAAAGGGGAAAAGAAAAATGTTGTTGCTCCCCGAACAAAAGCCAGGGAACAGTTTTACAGAAGTTGGGGTGGGAAGGATGTGTGATGTCTAAATATGTAGATGTGGGGACTCTGGTGTCTGTGCAGTGGAATTACATGCTTCTTCATGTGTCATATGTCTCATTAGCATGTTAAATCTTAATGGAAGGGTGTGGGTTTTTTTTTTTAGCATTTAAATGAGGGAGGGTTGCTGAAAAGGCAATCTTTCTCGCTGGAACACAGGTGTGAGTGAAGGGAACGCAATATAAGCCCATTGGAGTGAAGCTTGCAGACAGCAGTGTCCTTCCATCTAGCTGCTAATTGGTTGTAAGGAGAAGGGAAGATATAAGGGAATATTAATGAGTTTTTGACTTCCTGCCCACTGGGCTGCAGGAGTAGTCTGCCTATTTCAGTAGCACACACATCTTCTAGGTAACTTCATCCATTTCTAAAGTTTCAATGATGAACTACTCATTGATGATTCTCAGCACTCTATCACTAGCTCAAGATCATATATCCAAAAACCCGTGGCACATTCCCATGTGAATGGCCCAAAGGCATTTCAAACTCAACACAACACAAACTAAAACCATCATTTTTTCTCATTCCCCAATCCACTTCTAATCTCTTCTTTCAGTTGTTGACAGCGATACTTTTCCAGGTGTTTATTCCTGGAACCTGAGCCATTTCCTTGACTACACCTTCATCCACATACAGCAAAAGTAGGTTTATAGTTGTGAGTAAGTGAAACAGAGTTTATTCTTGTATTATTTATTAATTATTGTATTATTTTCCATATAAACAACTATAAACCTTCTTTTGCCCAATCCTGTATAATCATATCCAATCAACTAGCAAGTTTTTCAATTCTATCTCTTTGAGTTTGCATATCGCTCTTGAATTTGCCCACTTCTTTGCACCATAACTGCCAACCTTAATTCAGGGTACCATTGCCTCTCTTCAGAATTACTGTACCCTCTACTACTTTCTCTGCTTCCACCTCCCCAAGCTGTGCTCCAGATTGTAGCTGGAGTGATCTTTCTCTAAAGCACAGTGTTGATTATGTTTCTCTCTTGTTTTAAAAGGGAAACAAACAACTCTTTTGTGATACCTGACTTCCATCTGAAGTGCAGATCTCTTAGCATGGTCTACCAAGTCCTTTGAAATGGAAATGCCATCTATGTTTATGCCTCATCTGCAGTGACAACTTCCACCCTCATCTACAGTCTCTTGATGTTCCAGTTACACTGAACAGAATGTCCCTCTCCCTCTGGCTGAGTGCTTTTACTTGGTGTGCTCATGGCTTCTCGTGCTCCCTCTGACAGAGCCCTCATCACTGCTTCATCGCTGCCTGCTTATTGTCTTTCTCCTTCAGAGAACCAGGTCCTGGGAGCCTGAGATTCTGGCAGTTCATTGCTATACCCTCAACTTTTGTTGTGGAACTTGAAATATAACAGCCTCCAAGTAAATATTTATTGGATGAACAAATGAGAAAGAGAAAGAAGGCAAAATGAAATGAAACAACAAGAGAAAAAGGTTCTAGAAAACACTTGATGCATGCCAGGCATTCAGTAAGTGATCACTGATGTTAAAGAGAAAGGTCAAAAGAGTAGGAAAGAGGCAGTGGGGAAGAAGAGATCAACATGGTCAGTTCCACCTTTGCCCTCAGTGGGTTGGGTTGTGTTCCCCATCTCTTCTGCCCAAGGCATAGAACTTCTGCAGAAATAATTTTACGAACTTTGCATGCCCCTATCAACAGATGTGGAGGCCATAGAAAACCACCAGTGAGACTGTGGTCACACCACAGCCACAGAGACTGTGAAGCTGGCCCTTCCTGCTCTCAGTCCCTTGCTCCAACCTCAGGTATCTGTTATCCCAGAGTGGATATGAACCGGTTTATTGGCCCTGCTCATCACTAGTCTTCATTTTTCTTACTTTGTCCCTGCCCAGATTGGAGTCTTTTATATTTGGAGAGATCTCAGTAATCTGGCAATAAGTGTATTCCCTCAAAGTTGTATTGTTCCCAGACACACACCTACTCAGAACCAGTACCTTAAATACTCCTCTGATCCAAGAACAGGGCTGAAAAAGAGAAGAGGCCTTTGCAGGTTCAGCACCCTGCTGGGAAGGGGTAAGGGGGCCTAGCAAGTTGTGTCTTTTAGTCCCCCATAAGGGAAAACAAAAGCCTTCCACATGTTGTGAAATAAAGAAAGTTATGTACAAAATTGTTTGCAGGATGGCACTGTTTTTGAGAGCCGAGTTTCCTGGGAAGTCATCAAAGCTCTCTCATTAAAATCAGACGTGTAACATGTTTGCAGGCTGGGGTATTCTCAGGGTGCAGTCATGCTTGAACCAGCTGACTCTTACAGCAATGCAATCTCTGAGTTTCAGGGCCATGCCACCCACTCAGTGAGGAACAAAGTTGGAGCTGCCATTATCTGCACAGAATACAATGCCCTCGTAGACTGAAGGGCCCATTAAAAGTTTGTGGAGTTGTGTTGTCAAAAGCATTCCCCAGAAGGTGGGAACTCCATAATCTAGAGTGTGGGGCAGCCATTTCAGGAATCTTGGTTAACTTGATTTTCTAGAAGAAACTGAGGTAGGTGAACAAGCCATCTGTTACTCTGGCTGCTGCTGCTTCTATTTTTTTTTCCTGAAAGTTGAACTCAGGGTTTAGCAGGAGGGCCTTTGCCTCCAAGCTTAGTCTGCCAGAGCAGTTTTACCTTTTTCTCAACTTCTGCAGCAGTCTGCTTGGTGACCTCAAGGTTCTCCACCAGGGCCAAGTCTCCCAGGAAGTTCCCGGATGCCGAGGAGAGGCGAGAGAGCAGATTGTCTTCCAACGTTTTCAGGGTGATTTTGAACCCATTCTGCTGCTTTGTGAGCTCTGACTGCAAACATCAAGTAAGGGGGAGTCACATATAGAAGCCCAGAGCACCCTACTCTTGGGATAGGTCTGAATAAATAAAGCTTTACGGGCCCAGATTCCCTTCTCTTAGAGATGGCAAACTGAAGACAAAATAGCAGAATGATCAAGGCCATAAACAGATGAGATACAAATGAGTTGAATCCCTACTGCACCATTTCCCAATTATGTGACCTTAGGCTAATTTACCATCTTTGCACCTTTGTATCCTCAGCTGGGTTCATCTCAATCCCCACCTCTAGAAGTGCTGTGCAAAACTTCACGCAACAATGATACATAGTCTGTTCATTAAATGGAACCTACTTTTTGTGAACAGTTAGAGGGTAGAGTCAAGTGTGAGTTCTCCAGAGGGTCCTCTCTATCACCACTTTATTCTTCCCAGATGAATAGCTCTCTGATGGAAAAGGTTCTTGTTTTTTTAAACAAAAGCAACCCAAACTGTCTCATACAGTTTAGACAAGATCCTTGCAGAACTCAGCACCAGTGGGTGCTGGTGGCCAAGCTGAGCTTGCCTGGCCTTCCCTCCCCGAGGGTTAGACTGCATACATACCCTGAGGCACTGGCACACTTCTTGTTGGGGCAGGGGCAGAAGGCAGGCAGCTGCCATTTCTTTGCCCTTGTACAACCTGGGGTGATTGTGTTTGCATCCACTAAAGAACAATATTCCTGCTAGAGGCTCAAGACATGGCTGCCCCAGTCATTTTCTGTTTCTTAATGATGCATTCCTGAATCCTGCCTGCTTCATGGCCAGAGTTTGCTGCTGTTTGCTGGGAATGCTGTGCAGGGGCCTTGAAATTATTCAGGAATTAGCTCAAATGCCATCTTCTCACAGAATTTTTTTCCTGACTTTCCCAGTTTAAACTAGTCCCTGAGCTCTCTTATATCACCCTTCTTAATTTTCTTCAAAATTCTTATTACCACCTGAAATGATATATTTCATTTGTTTGTTTACATTCTTATTTTCTGTGTCCCTCCAAGAGATGGTAAGCCTGTGAAGGCAGGGATGTGGTTTTCCTTGGAGCCTCCCGAGTGCTTGGCACCTGCTACAGAGTTGGTGCTCCAAAGGTAGCTGTTTGATAATGGGATACTTGCAGGAAGCAAGGCCCAGGCATCCCTGATATCAGTCTCACATAAATTGTAATTCTGGACTTGCATTTTCTAATCTAATCAGGGCTAAAGAGAGTACAACAGGGATTATTGGCTCTGGACTGAATTGTGTCCCCAGGTTGTAGGTTGAAGCCTTCACTCCCATTCGAGTATATTGGAAATGGGCCTTTAAGGGGTTGAATATGGTTAAATGAGGTCAATATAGTGGGGCTGGGGTCTGACAGGAGTAGTGTCCATATAAACAGAGACACAGGAGGAGTTGCTTTCTTCCTCTGCACACACAGAAGAGGTCTGTGAGTACACAGTGACATGGTCATCTACCAGCCAGGGTGGACAGCCTCACCAGAAACCAAACATGCTGGCCCCCTGTTTTCAGCTTAACAACTCCCAGAACTGTGAGAAAATAAAATTTCTGTGTTTAAGCCACTCAGTCTATGGTGTTTCATTATAGCAGCCTGAGCCAAGACACTATCCTAAGGTTTTCAGTGTCCTTGCAAAGCTGAATCCCACTTAGTCCTGACTGAGTCATGTGACCATGTGTGAGAGGAGTCCCTCTTGTGCTGGCCACAGCATGTTCACAGTCTCTGTGAGGCTCTGCTCTCAGCAATTAGCTTCTCTCTCTGACTGTCTGTTCTTTAGCTCACTCTATCCTCTGTTTTCCCAACTTGGTGTTCCAAGTGGCTAGATGGGGTTGGCGCTCCTCCAAAGTTTAGCAGAGCCCCTGCAGCTCAGCTCCAGAGAAAATAGCCCCCCATACCTCTCCCAGAGTGGGGAGCACTGTGGGATTGCTGGGCACTGGACACACCTTCAGCTGCTCCAGGTCTGGTCTCTCCATGCTGACCACAGAGGCCAGCAGCTGGTCCTCCAGGCCATCCCTGGTCACAGTGAAGTTGATCAGGGTGGCCTGAGCCTGCAGCTCAGGCTGGTAGTGAGGGTTGGCAAGCTTGGTGTGGAGTATGAGCTGGAACTTGGGGTTGTATTCACACTCTTTGTCTCCGATTTTAATGAACCTAGAACATAGAGGTTCATGTGAAGTGCGGTACCTTCCCATGAGATCCAGTCAGAGACAGAATTCTATCTGTGACAGTTATTTTCCCAAGTTCATAGTAAATAATATTGCCATTTCAGGTGGATTCCTCCTAAGTATGTCTAGTGTGAGCACTAGGATCCTGGTTTGCACTAATGTGGGGCACAAGGGTAGAGGGTGGGAGACTTTTTCTCTTGGCCACCATGTTTGATTTTTCAGGCACAGCTGTCTGGAGAGCCATTTACACTTTGGGAAGCATTTCCAGCAGATGGCAGTCAAGTGTGTGCAGGAAGGGGCACTTTTTTAGTTGGCAAAAATGTACCTCACAGCCTGGCAGTAGGGCTCAATTTTTTCATGGCTGATGGTGAAATGACTTCCATGGGTGAAAATGGTTAATTAAGTAAATGAGCACATCTTGAGGACATGTAAAGGTGAGTTATGGCCTGGGCACTGGGAGAGGCTTCTGAGTCCAGCAGGCCTTAATGATGATCACCCCTCCCTCTCCTGTGTGCCTGTTGCCCTTCTCTTTCCCCCTTTCTTCCTCCTTCTGCCATATGCTGATCACCTACCAGCACTCAAAGCCATAGGTATGGCTCATCAGATTGACAAGGAGCTGAGTTCTCAGGAGTCTGGCTTAAATAAAATGCTCAAGTTTAAAAGTCAGCCTGCTCTTTGGCCACTTTCCTTTTAAAGTTCCTCCAAACTAGTGCCCTTTGGCCATTTAGAAGGGAGTCACGAAGGACATTGACTGATGGAAGCAAAGTTATTCCAGGCAACTTTCTCCAGGCTGTGAGGGCAGCTAAACCATGCCTCTCCTGGAAGAAAGAGAAGAGTGCCTGCCGTGGGTGGATTCTTGATATGACCCGAGGAGAAGATGTTCTGAGAAGAGCAGATCTGTCCACAGTTCTACTGGGGCAGTGAACCAACTCTTCAGAAAGGGTGGACAATACAGCTGGACCTTACCGTCCTTTTTTAATGACTTCTCTCCCAAGCAGTGGTCCCAGAATAGGATCAATGGACTCTTCCAGGTTTTCAATGAGCACCACATCCCCAGCTTCCAAGGCACGCTCTATGGTTTGAAGGTAGCTGGGGAAAGGCAGGCAGTATGAGCCTGTGGCCACGCGTGGGTGCCAAGGCAATTTAACAAGACCTCTGAAGCACAGTGATAAGCTTGGAGGCACACTTACCTGGGATGGTTTCAGTGGCCACATTTTTCTCTATTAAAATGATATTGACGTAATCTTATGTAGTTTTAGAAATAGGGAAAAATTACAAAACAATGAAAATTAACTGTAACCTTTCTATCTATGATTTACATTTGGTGTTTATATGCTTGGATGTAGCATATTTTCAAATTTATTATCAATATTTCTATTTATAGTGGTATGTCGGTACTTGTTAATTTGTTCTGGAACTTGTGATGAGTGCTGAAACCAATGAGTACTGAATGATGAAGCATTTCCCCTTTCCCGGCAGTGTTGTGGCTCATACAAGTTCTAGCAAATGCAGCAAGTCCCAAGCAGGCGCCAAGAGCTGAAACATGTTTTCTTCAACAAAATGCAATGAGTACAGGGTCTGACAAGTTCTGAAGCTGATGAGTACCGAGGTATGACTGTATTTTATATTATAATATTTATATAATAATTTATATTTGCATTTATATTTATTTAGTATTGGATTTACATAGCATATTTGATTCATAACCTCGTTTTTGTACATAAAACACATTATAAACATTTCCCCATGTCATTAAATATTCTTCTATAACAATTTTTACACAACTGGATGTTAGATTGTGTTGATACATCTTAATTCATTTGTAATCAATTACCAAAATCTAGCTTATTTTAAAATATGTAATGTTATATAGAGTATAATGGGCATATTAAAAGTTTAATTTTCTGTAAATAGATTTATGAGTTTGATATAATTCCATTCCAACAGTAACTAAAAATAATTTTATAGATCTTGACCAAAATTTTAAAGTTAACCTAAAAAAATAAATAATGAAGATAATAAAAAATGATAATCAAGAAAACTCATATAAGCTAATACTAAAATATTTTATATAAGTACAACAAAATATATAGGTAGAAAAAAGTCTTAAAGGATGTCATAACCAAAACATTAGCATTCTTTTTCTATGAATGATAAATTATAAGAGTTAAAACATTTTTCTTTGTGACTTTTTTCTATAATGATATGTTATTTTTGTGATGAGAAATACCACAATAAATGCTACTAAATATAAAACTACATAATTAAAGACTGGTATAATATTATATAAGTAGAAAGGATTAAAGACCCTATTTAATGAGAATTTAATATAGAGTAAAAAATTACCAGTAATTAATTGGGGAAAGGATGGATAATTTAATAAATGGTATTGGAAGATGGCTAACCAATTGAAGAATTAAAATTAGGTCTATACCTTGTATAATACCCTAAACTGTTTTTCAGATGATTACATTTCATTGTAAAAAGAACACTCATAGAAATCTAAAAAAACCTAAGTGAATATTTACATAATTTATGGACAGACGATGACTTTTCTAAGCAAGGTCTACAGAAGAAATGAGCCACCATGTGAGCAAATTGTAGGATGTCAAACCCTGCAGATGAAATTAAGAGACAAATGACACTCAAACAAATTTCCACTCAGTTGAAGGGAGGCTGCACTGAATAGTCTTAGCACGTATGATCTATGATGTAATATTTGTATTCAAGTAATAGATACCAAATCTAGAAAACCATGTAACAGAAAAGTAGTCATTGGATGTGAACCGAGACATAACTGAACAGATATTTACTGAGGGTCTCCTACATATCAAGTGCTCTTTTTGGTATTAGAAATATAGGAATGAGCATCAAGAATGAACACTTTTTCTTAAAATGCAGTTGTTGGTTAGATAGGAGAGCATACTTTAATTAAATGCATCTTGTCATTTCTCAACAAAGTGTGCTCTGTAAGAAAGGATCCATTCTGGTATTCAATATTTGCTTTGTTTAGCTATCTTTGTTACATTGCATGTTTGATTAAACCACTGTGGGTGAGCTGGACCTCCGGACAGACATGTTTGGGACATGTGACCAGGGCAGCAAACCTCCCTTTGGTGGCTGTGGGTTTGAATGCATAAACCTTGGATTTCTAAGTGAGGATCACCTTGGTTCAAATACTGCCTCCATCCATTTTTAGAAAAAAATTACTAAATTAATTTTTAATTGTGGTAAAATATATATAAATCTACCATCTTAACCATTTTCAAGTGTGAATTCCAGTGGCATTAAGTCCATTCACATTATTGTTCCCATCACTATCATTCTTCTTTAAACTCTTCTTTTTGCAAAACTGAACCCCTGCACCCCTTTAAATGACAATCCTCATCTCCCCCATCCTCTGGGGGACAGATTCTGTCTCTATGGATCAGATCACTCTAAATATATGTGGAATTATGCAGTATTTGTCCTTTTGTGACTGGCTTATTTCACTTAACATGATGTCTTCGAGATTCATCCATGTTGTAGCATGGGTTAGAATTTCCTCCCTTTTCAAGGCTGGACGATATTCCATTGGATGCATATAATTACACTTTGTTTATCCATTTATCTGTTGATGGACACATGGATTGCTTCCACCTTTTGGCTCTTGTAAATAATCCTGTTATGACCCTGGATGTATAAATATCCATCACTTTTAAAATTGTATACTCTTGGGGCAATTACTTCAATTTCCTCAAATGTGAAATGGTACCAATAACACTAACTTTATATACTGTGTGGATTAAAAAGGCATGTGAAGGAAAACTTGTACTACCTAGTAGATGCTTGGTCGCTCTCCCTCATTACCCCATCCTATCTTTCTCATGTATCCTAATGCACAGAATAGGAGTTGAATACTGAGACTACAGGACTAAGCTATAACAGGGTTAACAAAGCAATGGAGTGAGGGATGCTCAGGTCTGTGAAGTGTGGGGAGAACTGGATGGACATTCTCTTCAGTACTCACACCCTTTTGTGTAGTAACTCTCCAATCTTATATGTTCAAAGCGGTATTGCAGGTACAAAGGGCTCTGATGTTTTCATAACTAACGTGGCCACTATGCATCCAACTGCAAACATTCAATTGTTTCTTGGGGGAAAAAAGTTTAGGTTTATTCAATGTGGCTCAGGGGCAGAAGTAAGAACGGTGGGTAGGAGAGGCCTAGGGTAAGCAGGTTTGGGCTCAATGTGAGGGAGACTTTGTAAAACAGAGCCTGGTGATGAAATGTGGTGTTTGGGGAGTCAGAAAGTGTTCACAGGGAGGTGGGAGGATAAATGCCATGGATGGGGGAGCAAGGGCTCCTGAATGGGCTGAGAGGCTGACACACATGGTTTCTAATGAGAAAGAAAATCAGAGACTCAGTCCCTAAGCATCTTGCACTGAGATGTTTCCTGAAATGGTAGGAGGAGCATGAGAGGTCTCATGGAGGGACCAGGAGAGTAGAAATAATCTACCAGGGCTTAAGATGTGCTTTTCTCTGCAGAAATGGCAAAGGTGGGACCTTTTGTGCAAGGCTACTTACCCCTTCTGACCAATCTGGGTGACCCGAAGGTCTTCACCATATTTGTTCTTGACCCATTTGATGCCTTGTAACTGAGGGTCAACCATGAGCGGCCAGCGTTCACAGTTGGTGAGGATGGCTGCATTCTCTGCGGACATGCGGTCTGCTGGGAGGCCCTCATTCTGCCAGGCAGCTAGGTCTGCATCGTCCATCAGCATCCTTAGGGTGTCCAGGGAGGGGGTGACTGGGATGGGAACCTGATGATGAGGAAATGCCACACACATTCAGAATGGAAGCGTGCTTTCTCAGCTGGTGGTGGGATGCACGGTAGTTTCTCAAATGACAAGCTCTTTGAGAAACAATATCAGAATCCCACCCAAGAGTGCTTTCCTGGATGTGTAATTATTTCTGGAAGCAGGTCTTTAACTAACTAGTTAATTAATTATTTTGTGAAGCAAGTTTTAAAAAAACTCCTGGTAGTATTTTTTTCTCTTGACTGATGGACAACAGCAGGAATTCCGCCTGTGTGACCCTTTGCTCTTCAGTATATTCATCGAAGTCAGATTTCTACCATAGATTATTCATATCTTATCAACAGTCTCCTCTACGCCCTCCCCCGTGTTAACAGGGTCACCCCTCCACTACATTTCTGCATTTCTGTGCATGTGCCCACACCTACTGGGCTCTCTCCTGTCAGTGCCAGCCTGTACCAAACACTCTCTCCTCTCAGCCCCTTCACCACTTTCTGACAGAGGCCGGCTTGCAAAGAGATGGAGGTGTTTCCCTTCTCCCTACCCAGAACACCCCACACCCGGGCTGACTGTATGACTTCCCTGCAAACTCCTCACTGGCACACCCTGGAAACTGGGAGCAAGCCTCCAGGCCTGCACATGCTCTGCACAGCCCGTTTCCCTCAACAGCCCGTGTGTGCACCAGGTCCTCCTCTCTGGTCTCTGCTGACCTCTCTTAGCTTGTTTAATTCTGTACAAGTAATAGGTTCCACTGAGAACATATACTTTTAAAAAATTGAAGTAATATTCACAGCATTGTGCAACCATCAGCTCTATCTAGTTCTGAAACATTTCCATCACCCCAGAGGAAGCTCTATCTAGTTCTGAAACATTTCCATCACTCTGTACCCGTTAGTAGTCATTCCTGTTCTCTCCCACTTCCAGCTCTTAGCAACTGCTAGTCTGCTTTTTGTCTCTAAGGGCTTACCTAGTCTGGGTATTTTACTTAAAAGGAATCATACAATATGTGATCTTTTGTGTCATAATGTTTTCAAGGTTCACACAGATGCCCTTTTAACTGCCCCATCTCTCTCTTCTCTGCAATTTGTTTTCTCAGTTACCTCAGGAAGACCTCTCCAAACCATCTCCTGTCCGTTTAATCATACATGCTAAGTTTGTGAATGGCTGGTGCTGAACCATCAAGCAAATCTCAAAAGGGAAACATGCCACTGGAGGTTCTTATCCTGAGATCAGAAATGTATTTATATAGAATTTGTTCCCTTGGTAACCTTATGCATTCTATTTTATGCTCTAAAACCTATTACTGTGACAAGGAACCCGTAGATTTCACCAGACTGCTAAAAAGGGTCCATGGCGAAAAAGTGCCTAAGAACCCCAAACAAAACCAGAAAAACCCTTGCTAAGCTGCCGCTATCTTGATTCACTCAATTAATGATTGTCCTTTCTACAGTTTCCTTTTCTGCAAGTGTTCAAGATAAATAATAAGTAGCTTTACATTTGTTTATTTCCCTATTCAACAAATTCCCAGGTGAGTAAGGTTTTATGTGCTGCTTTGTGAAGCCAATCATCACTAGCCAGCATGGGTTCCATGTTCAGAGGAAACCCCTGCAGATGAGCTCTGCAAACAATCCTTCCTGCAGGTTGAGAACTGTCTGAGCTGACTCTTGATGCAGCTGCTTGCCATGAACCTAATCTCCTGCACTGGACTGTGAGCTGCCTGCTGGAACGTCTTCTGCATCTCCTGCCTGGTGGACACGCTGAATACTCAGGGAGGATCTGTGGACTGAGTGATGTGGAAGTGTCAGGTAATATTGGGTATTATTCCGACTGATGGCTCCAGACACCACCCTGGCCCATCTCAGTCAGGAACTGGCATTTCCCACTTCATCATGTTGGTGTGGAGGGAGGAGGTGGGTGTAAAGTCTATCAACTTACACTAAGAGGACAAGCTGAGTGCATGTGACAGGAATAGTGAAAGCTGTTCTCACACAGGACCTGGGGGCCATGGTTACAGGCCATGCAGCTTTGGGGCTCGATAACAAGGTGCAGTGCAGAGTCTGGGAAAGGGACCTTGTCTTAGCTGCTACTGTGATGTTTGGCTCAAGAGCAGTGAGATTAGAGGGAAACACAATGGGGGTTGGCACTGCCCAGGTTTATCGTTTTGAGGAGTGCCAAGAGACAGGAGTCTGGGCAGGGGGCCAGAGTTCCTGTGGAGGCCCATGAGAAGAGTGGTGCTCAGAATGACCTGCTAGTGGAACCCTGCCTCAGGATGGCAGATGATAATGCAGGGCAGTGTGGAACAGCATGGGTGCCTGTGTCTCACTCTTGGATCCCAGAGATCCTTAGAGGATGTGCAGGAGATGGTGGGAGAAAGTGTGCAAGAAGGGATGAGGAGTTTTGGGTTATTATTGGCATATGAACTCATTGGTACCCACGGCTGATGTGGGCAGGAGAAATCCTTGTGGTACATACTTGCAGTTGACTCAGGTATGGTCTCCAGGTCCCATCCATGAGGCTCTGACGGTATTTCTTTGTAAAGAAACCGAGGTATGAAATGAAAGCTGTGGTAAGTAAAATGTCTCCACATAATTTCCTCTCCCGTTGCTTGAAGTTCTGCACAGCTTCTGCCCACCTCACATTTTCAGAAGCAAGTCCTCCCACCTGCCATTTCAAAGACCAGAGGGGAAAGGAGACTTGTCTCAACATAGCCAGTGCTGGCTATGAAGAGACATGGATTCAGTCACAGAAAGCACACAGCACACGTTTAACAGCAGAAGACTCAGAATGTCCTTGTGTGGTCCCTCTGATCACTGAGGATCTGTGTTGGCTGCAGCAAACATTTCAGTCAGTGAGTGCCTGTTTGGTGCTATGTATGTGTGGGCTGTGGACAGATGACAGGCTGTGGAAGCAGGCTTCCAGGCTCTGCCTGTTATAGGTACTGAGATGAATACTACCCACCTCAAAGGGCAGTTGAAAGGATTAAATATGACCATGTATGTTAAGCACTTAGTACAGTGCCTGGTCCACAAAACATATTAGAAAATTATGTACCTCTCCCATCCCTCCAAATGCTAGGAGATGAAAATAAATAAAATTAATTTCATGCACTATAAATAATTCACAGTGGGCAGGGAGGAAAACATGGTAATTAAGACACAGAGCCAGAAGTCCTGCAACATGGGTGTGTACAAAGTAGCAAGACCACTGCACTTGTCCTGACGTTGCCCGACCCACTTTGGCATGGCTACTTGCTCTAGGGGCACAACTTCTCTGGGGATTAGAGACATCCTTTCTTTAGAGAACCCTTAGGTGGATGGTAAAGCTTAGCTTCTGCATTAAGTTTATCCTTTTTTCTTCCTTGAAAGAGGGCATCAGAGAATGCCAGAGCTGGGGATGATCTTAGGGATTTGCCAGCCCAACCACTGCCATGGCCATTTTTAACTTATACAGATAAAGATGGGAAAGATGAAGTAACTTGGCAGAAGCTCTCAGTTGGTAGAGGCAAGGGTGGCTTTAGAGCCCATTCTCCTGGAGGAGAGTAGCACACCACCTCCACGAGGCCCAGCTCAGAAAATGCTCCAGCTGGGCAACGAAGGCCGGAACTAGAGAGAAGACAGACTTGCTAGGAGGGCGAGACCCCTTCTTGCATGTTCGCAAAGGAGTAGTCTCTGAACGGAACAAGTTCATCTCAAAGCTCTGCAGCAGCGGGTCAGCAAAGAACTGCACAGACACATGCTGGTATAGCCTCTCTTCACTAACACACGGCTCACTCAGTTCAGTGATTCTTATGACTCATTTCTCCCTGAATTAGGAAACCTGGCTTTGTTATGTGTATAGGCTGGCTGTAATAAATATAAAAATGTATGGATTCTGCCTCCTCTCATTGGTGAGGAAGGTTCTGTAAATGCTCTAGATTAAAGAGAAATCACATCCAGTGGACACTGCTTTGAAAAATGTGAAATGATTTATGGTGAAAGATATAAGTCATAAGGGATTTTGAAAGGCCATGCATTCTTTGACTGTCCTCTCTTCGAGGGCTAGTGTCTCTGCTCTGTCCTTGAACCCCAGACTGCTTTGACCAGTAGAACCCAGTGGACATGCTGCTGTGCTGGCTTCTGGCCCCAGGCCTTACAGATGGGGACCTTCCACTTCCTGTCTCTTGGAGCCCTGGGTAACCATGTGAGACATTTGACTACCCAGATTGGAGAGACCTGAAACTGCATGGGGAGGTAGAGGGGTCCTGCAGAGCCCACTCTTGAAGTTGTTCTTACCAAGACACATGTGAAGGAAGTCATTTTATACCCTCCAAACCAGCTTGGCCACCAGCTCAGGAACACCAAGTGGCCCCAGCTGGCACCACATGGAGAGGCATAACCTGCTAGCTGAGCCCTGCCCAAACTCCTGACCCACTAACTCCTTAGACTTAATGAAATGCTCTTTTGTCAAATCTCTAAGTTTTGAAGTGCTTTGGTAGAAAGCAACAGGCACTCATAGCACAAGCACCCTGCTCTGGCCCTCCAGGTAATGTTTTTCAGGGTGGCCAGAGCTATGTTTGTGTGCATGTGTGAGATGTGCATACAGATTAGGTCATGCTCAGAAATGCTGAAGGCCAAAAAGTCTCTTTCTGCTTCTGCCTCAGCTCCCGATCCTGGCCACACCTTTATCATCAAATATCACACAGGTAAGAGCTTCAGAGTTTGTCTGTCAAATGCCAGCTTTGTTCTTCTCTGCTGCCTCTGGGCGATACACACATATGTAAGCATGTCACACACTGCATGGGCTGCCTGATACATCAGCCTTCTCATCCTCCCAACCATCTCTGTAGGACAACTTTGACCAGACCAGGGTGTGCACTCACACATTTCTCAGGATTCGTCCCTGTATCCCAGCACATTTTAATATTTTCCCGTGAGCCAAAGCAGTGCTGAGCTGTGCTCATCCATTTTGCACCTCAGCAGCACTTGACAAGCTCTGCTAATATAATTAAAGCTCCGGCTGCAGAGCCTCGCACTCACCAGGCGATTTGCAAGGGAGATGGTGCTTGCGGTTATTTCAGCTTCTTGATGACATTTGAGTTTGTCTGCTGTGGCTTTCTCAAACTTGGCGGTGAGTTTGGCCAGGTTGTCATTAAGGTGCTGTTCAGGAAGGAACACAGGTCTGTCAGTAATTCTGGCCCCAGTCACCTCAGTGCCTCTGAGCTAGGATTCATGTGTAGGCAATGTTTAAGGAAGAGTCACCTAGGGGGAGCTGTAGGGACACGGGGGAGGCAGGAGGGCAGGGAAGGAAAGAAAGGCAAATTAGGGATGCTGCCAGGCAGAGTCCCAGCAAGAACTTCAGTCAGACCCCAGAGGGAGGAGGTTGGAATGGAAGTCCAGAGGATCTCTACCCAAATGAGAGAGCTGAGCTTTGCTCCGGCACCTCATTTGAGGGCTCGGGACCAGGAGGGGTGAGGGGGTGCTGGGCATGGAGGAGGGGGTGTGTGTTCTGTTTCTCCTGGTGTTTGGGAAAAATGGGTTCCGATAGCCCGCCCCAAGCTGTTCTACGTGTTGCTTTAGAACCACAGCATGCTGAAGGCTGGAGGCCCGCAGGTGGTCAGAAAGACCCCAGGGAGGCCTGGGGGGCCACATACTGTGCCTGCTGTGGCAGGTCTCTGGTTTGGGGTGGGGCTGTCAACAACCTAAGTCTTCCCCTTACGTTAACCTCATCTATTCCCTTCTATTATGGGGGCATTTAAAAAATACATGGTTTCCATTTTTTCTAAATTTATGAAGAACTTGGAATTGAAGCACATAGCTTTTGTTGCCCCCAGAGGATATAAGAGCATGCACAGACACATGGACACATGGCAGATATACCTCCAAATGTGTCTTATGTCTGTTCACTGGCCCGGTTTAGGCTGCCATGTTGGTCATTACCAAGTTACAAGAGAAATAAATTAAAAGGCAAGCAGTTTGAAAAGCAGGTGGCAAGGCATCCAATTAATGATGACAGACTGGCCACGCTCATTTATTTTTTCTTCTTCCTGAGACTTCTCTTAAATGATTAAAAAAATTTTTTTAGCCTCACCCAAGGACATTTTTTCATTGCTTTTAGAGAGAGGGGAAGGTAGAGAGGGAGGGAGAGAGAAAAAACATCAATGTTAGTGAGAAGCATCAGTTGGCTGCCTCCCATACATGACCAGACTGGGGATTATACCCGGGATCAAACCCATAACCCAGGTATATGCCCTTTCCGGTTATGGGATAATGCTCCAATGAGCCAAACCAGCCCAGACTGCTTTTCTAAAATGGTTTTGAAGTAATGAAAAAAGTCATAAGCCCATAACACCAAGCAAATATCAAGGGCCATTGGAGGGTGAAGAATTCCAGTAGATTTATGGAAGACCACATGGCAGAGGATTGGAAACTGCCAGAGCAGGACAGGGGAAGCAGCAACCTAGAGATGGCTTCAGTTCACCAAAGAGGAAGCTTATCAGCCCTGCAGAGCCCCGTGCACCTGGGGACTTGGAAATGTCAGGGCTGTTTCAAAGGGATACTGAAAATAGGAGGGTTAGTTAGAAACCTATTAATTTCTCACTCCATATCTCTGTTTCCATGTTCATCATGCAATGCCACCAGGGATCGATGTCACCAGGCAGGACAGTCAATAGTGGCAGGGAAAAGGCAACATATTCTGGTGTTTAGGATGCATCCAGCATAACTCATCTGATCTTGAAAGCAAATTCTGTCAGTCAGCCAGCTTTGCCTTTGCCTGCACAGTTATAATCAGCTTTTGATCTCTACTTTTGTAAAAGAAAGAACAAGAAGGTATTTGATGAAAGCCTAGATTAAGTTAAACAAACAAACAAACAAAAAACTGTGACCTGGGAAATGGAGATAACTTCAAGCATGAAAACAATAACAAAGCATGGAACTCTTAATAAGTAGTTTACCAGAGAGATTCACAATGTTTTTTCATAAAACAAGAAGAGTGCTAGTAAAAGGAATAGCAAACTCAACACTGTTGTGGAAACTATTATTATTATTATTAATATAAAAAGTAGTAAATTCAAAGGAAGGGCTAAAAGGTGAATTTGAGGAAATCTAGAAAGTATAAGAAAACATATAGTAACAAAAAGGTTAAAGAAAGTAGAGGACCCATCAGATCTAACATTCAACAAATATGTGCTTCATAAAATAAAATTTAAAAGGAAATAGGAGCGCTATTACCCAAGAAATAATACAAAATAATTTTTTAGAGCTGAAGAAAAGTCTCCACATGCCACATCCAATGAATAAAAAAAGGATGGTAGCTAAGAATGTCAATGTAAAGTTTAAGACACCAAGAATAAAGAAAAAATGGAAAGACTTCCAGAAAGAGAGAAACATGGTACATCAATAAGGGAGTGGGACCCTTGCTGTTCATCAGATTTCTCACCAGATGAGGATAAAGCATTCCATGTGGAAGAGGAAAAAATTAGCAACTCAGAATGTAATACACTGCAAAATGGTCAGTTAAGTTAAAAAATAAAGATATTTCCAGACTGGAACTATTCTGAAAATTTACCTCTTACTTCACATTTCTGAGAAAGTTACTTAAGGGTCATAGCAAAACAAGAGAAGAAATAAAGAAAGGAGAAGGCATGGGGTCCAGGAGCCATTGGAACCAACCCAAGAAAGGAGTGAAATGTGTTGACACTGGAGCTCTCAGTTGGGGATAAGGGAGAAAAGTCTTGGAGGCAAAGGTGACTTAATAGAAGACTGGATTAGATAGAGAGTTTTAAAGTCATTGAGGCTTTGTGAAAAGAACTAAAAAAAGAGAAAAAAAGATAAAGGCAAGTAGGAACTCCAGGGTGGAAAAAATGGTTGTATAAGAAAGGCAATACAATGATGTTATACCACTTATATCTTATATGAACAATATAGACATGTTCACAGAATATGAATGGGATTTACTGATTTTCTACCTTTTTAAGTCAGTCAGGGGACAGAGCATGGGACACTTAATTTTTGTTATAAAATGGAGTGCAGTTATTTTCAATCTTGGTGACTAAAAAGCAATAGTGATGATAAGTAATGATAATAGATGTTGGGAGTTGGAAGGTAGGGAAGAAGCTGAAGGAAAGAGTACTAACTTCATCTTTAAAGCTGAGGACTCCAAGGAAGCTACCTCTATGTGATGGAACAAGAAATAAAGTTTACATCCACTCAAAACGGTTGCCACAATGATACTGGGACACAGGGAGATGAGCATCTTAGAGTTTCATCTAGCAGAAACTTAACTGCCTGAATAGGATGCAGCAAGAAATAAGGATGCCAGCACAGAACATGGACAGAAGTCAGAAATTCCAATGAACAGAGGCCAGGAAGATCATGTAAACCAGTCAGATGAATCTGGTCCTGAGAAAAATAGGAATGTGGGGCCTATGGCAAAACTATCTACTTGAATGGAAGCCACTGCTTAACTCCAGAGCCAGGTAATGATATTTGGGAATCTTATTATTTTGATAAGCCAGATGAACCAGAAATCAAATTTCTATAAGAAGTTCCTATTGCTGTAAATGCTGGCAATGAATTAAATAATTTCAAACACTATGTGTGGGCCAAAAACAATACACGTAAGCCTCTAGGTAGCAAGCTCCTAGTGATATCAACAATCAGTTGAAACACACAAAATAATTAACGGGCAGAAGACTGTTGTGTCTCATTAGAAGCCCTTCTCTACTGTTTGATATTTGACTTATGGTGACTGTAAGCTCCATGAAAATGCCTTATTTGTTTTTATTACCATTACTTTTATAAATTGTAACAATATACAGTGTGCTCATTATAGAGAAAAGAAAATACAGATAAACAAACACCATCTAAAATCTACCACCCAGAGATAACCACCACTATTCGTATTTTTATGTATTATAATTCTATGTATACTTATATTGTACAATTTGTTTTAAAATACACCTTTTTCACTGTAAGCATCTTGAACATAAAATTTACTTGGAATTATTCTAAAATTCTAAAAATAAAGCTTGGGGTGGAATGCATGTGGAGGCAGCTGGCGGCGGCCTTAGCGGCGCACGGGCGTGGGAGGGGAGGGGGCTCCTATCAGAGACCATTTCAGCGAATCTCCTCTGTTAGTAATGCAGGAAGCGTTCAAACTCTTGGGATGTTGATAGGCATGTGGATAAGCAAAGGATGGAAAGGAGGTTGTTAAAAGTGAAAATACATTTTTTTTTCAAAAAATATTTTGGCAGAAAGGAAGTGTCTTCCTGAGGTAGCCAAGTATTTTAAAATATTCTTATTGCTTTCACAGGCTGAGTAGGCCTATCGTGTGAATGTTGGCTACTGAAAAGGGATAAACATTTAGAAAACATTCCTTTTGCACCAAATGTTCCTTTAAATACTTAAGTAAAGAGATCTTTGAAAATGCAGTTCTTATAACATTGTTCTGGGAGAGACTGAGGAATATGAAAATCACTGAGAGGTATTTTCCCTCCAAAAGCAGTCCTGGGGATGTTGCAGTGTTCTGCATCTGGAATTCTTTGAAGAGAGCCATTGTTTTGGCAATGGACACCTGTTTTGAGTAAACTGGCCTATGAACATCTGGATTTAGAAAGCAAACCTGTTGAGGGAATCAGTTGTTCGTCAAAAGGTACCTTTTCTTTATGGAGATATCAGTTGTGATGATCTTTGAACTAGCCTCTGGTTATAGAATTTAATCTAATAATCAATAAGCCCATGATATGAAGTGTGCGGCTTGTCTTTAATCTCATTTTCATAATTTGTAAAAACCCTTTTTATCAGCATGAGAAATTTGTAGCAAGACTCTTATTTGCCTGGAATGCACTTGTGGAAATGAAAGACCCAGGAAATGTTTTGGGTTGGGCTTGGTCACGGTCGTGCCTGATTACCAGGCTGTCATGGGCACGTGAGAGCACAGGGAGCCCAGGCAGGAGGAGGGGGAGCAGGAGGGCAGGGCAGGGCCATAATGGTGGGCATTTTAAAGACATTTGTAGTGAGATCTGTTGACGGATTTTTAGCTGTTAGGTGGTCATACAGGACTCTGGCTTCTACTTTTCACTTTGGCACTATCCATTTTAACTCCACAGGTAGGTGTGAATTCAGGATCACCCTAACTTCAGTCCCGAGTGAGGCAGATATAATCAAATATGAGTGGGGGCCCAAAAATCTACAAAATTTATTTATTAAAAAATTGTGTATTTAGCCCTGGCTGGTGTGGATCAGTGGATTGAGTGCCAACCTGCCAACCAAAGGGTTGCCGGTTCAATTCCCATTCAGGGCACATGCCTGAGTTGCAGGCCAGGTGCCTAGTAGGGGGCACATGAGAGGCAACCACACATTGTTTCCCTCTCTTTCTCTCTCCCTTCCCCTCCCTCTAAAAATAAATAAATAAAATATTTTTAAAATTGTGTATTTATTCTTACATGTTTAAACTTCAGTTTCCTTCAAAGTATTTTCCATTTGATGCAATACACCCATCGAGATGTTTTTCCCACTGCTTAAGACAGTTTTTGAACTTGTGGATTTTGATGCCTTTTAGTGCTTCTGCCGGTTTTTGTTTCACCTCTTCCACATGGGCAAAACATTTCCCTTTGAGGACTTTATTCATTGGGGGAAACAAAAAAATAGCTCAGGGCAAGATGGGATGAATAGGGAGGGTGGGCAGGATATTTTTGGTCAAAAACTGCTGAACACTCAGCTCAGTGTTGGCAAATGTGCTTGTAAATCATCCCTTATGAAATGATCAAATGTGTTGAGAGTCTTGAAAAAAAATTCACTGAAGTTAAATGCAGCTTCTCACAACACCACCAGCTGGTACACTGATACAGATGGGTTCCTAGAATATTCATCTAATGAGGGAAGCCTGCTTAGGGGCCACTCTCCAGGAGACAATTTTGGTTTTTTGTGCCACCCCCACCCTGCTTGTACATATCTCTGCCATCTTTCTCTCTTCAGAAGAAAAGGAAAAATAATTCAGGGGCAAAGTGTAAACCAATAGTCCAATGGATTTTTCTTGTTTAGACTATATGCGTTTGAGAAAATAATTTAAAAAGTTACCTCTACTGAAAAATCAGGAGACTTTGCCTAACAAGCTGGTTTTCCCTGCCTGTAGACCCTGGGGAAGGGCAGAGAGTGCTGTTTGCACCAGAGGCTGCCCGGCAGGGCCACAGAGCCCTGCTCACTTACTGCGATCTTGGTTTTAATGGCTGCCAGCTTCTCCTGGGCGGCTGTGAGGTCCAAGGTGGCTCGGCTCAAAGCTTGGCGCTTGGGCTCCACGTCACAGAACACCTCATAGAACTTCACAATGTTTATGACCCAAGAACAGAGGCCCGCAGCTGCGTAAGACTTGGTGGCCACGAACTCAGGATTGAACTCGGGATCCTGCAGATATGGCCTGATGGCTTTGAGGCAGTTCTCATGAATGTTCTCTTTGTTGAAGTTGATCAGAGAGTCCAGGAAGGCATCCACTCTGGCCATGGCGACTTTAGCGGCCTTCCAGCTTCGGTCCTTGGGCACCTTTCCCTCAGGGGCCATGAGGGCCATCACAGCTGCGCTGACATTGCTCACAGCCTGAGGTGGGGAACCAAAAGACTTCAGCTCTGTCAGGTTGGTCTGAGAAAAGAGGAGGAGGTTTGTTAGAGGAAAACGAATGGGCCTTCTCTGTTCTTTGCTAACGGATTTAGTCCCTGGAGTGATCAGTCTGAAAGGGCTATTTTGAAGCCTGCAGCAGCCCTCTGAATTTTAAATATCATGACTCATCAGAAGGAAACCAAAACTTGTCCCCAGCGGCCTCAGGCTCCTCTGAATGGTCAGCAGAGACTCAGCTGCGTTCTTTCAGCATATAAACTGACTTGACGCCTGCCCATTAGGGGGACATGATTATTTCACACTCAACTGGAAAATATAAGGATGCCAACACACTGAAATATGTAGCTTGCCATGAATAAGAGATAAGGCTATTATAAATTAATTTCGATCCTGGATTGAAGAGAATAGCACTGCAACCCAATTATTATTTTTTTCTTTGATTAAGCTGCTTTGTTCCAGGAGCTTGCTCTAACTACACCAACTGTCCCAATAGCAAAGTGGTATTTTCTGCCAAGATAATTTAGAGAGAGGTTAGGCCTGGCCTGTGCAGTTGCTGCCTCTGCATAGATGGGGGTTTCTCCTTTGCTCTAAATTTCACTGGCTTGGGAAGGAAATGACAGAAAGTATTGACCTTAGCAAGTCACTTCAACTTCCCAGGCCTCAGTGTTTTCATCTGTAAATTGGGAATAGGGCACCATTAATCAGTAAGTGAAATTGTGACATCAATACGTATCAAGTGGATTTAAGGTTGCTTGTGACCATCAGGGAGAAGCACAACCTCAAAAGCACTTCCTTTGGGGCTGATTTTGTAAGTGGAGGTAAAACTTGATTCAGAGATTAGATCCTTGTGCCACAGGGACTTGGGATGCTCCTGGACCTGGAAATCTATAAGTGAGGGGGAGTTTTCCCCCCAGTGCTTCAGGGAAATGCCTAGAAAGACATTCCGTTTGCTTTTGCAAATGATTTTTCACATTTGGCCATGAGAAACTTGTCAGGGGCAGGAGTGAAGGACAGCACAGGTGTGGGGGGTGCTGGTACATGGATTGTAGTGGCTTCCACTGGGCGACAGAGGGCGAAATAAGATACAACCAGAAAGGAAAAAATCCACCATTTTAAAATACTTTAGGTTAACTATGTTTAATGTATTGATTTAGGAAACTGTAAAATCATTGGTACATCATTGTTAATATTTCAATGTAATCCCTTCCACATTTTTTTATATTCATATATATATGAATCAATCTCAAGTCTTTTGGTTTTAGTGACAGAAAACCTAGCTGAAGTACAATACAAAGGGGGATTTCCTTGCTCATGTATCTGGAGAGAATGGGCTCGGAGCTGACTGTAAGGCCAAGTAGAACTATGTTTTGAATGTTTGCGGGGCTCCCTGAATCTTTTCTTGTTTCTGCGTCTCTCTGTGCATGAGTGTCCTCTTTGCGTACCAGTTTTGTCAGATTTCGAGGCATGTGACCTGCCTCTTTGACCTCAACGTGGGTCACATTCTCCACCTCTCCCTAAGCTCTAGACACAGTCACCTCCCCTAGTGTACTGATTGCCATGCTCATTCCCACTTTGGGACCTCTGCCTGGAACACTTCTTCCCAAGCCATATGCATGGCTGACCCTCCTCATCCATCAAGATCCCACTGCCAACTTCCCTTTCCTAGTCATTTCCCGTCTGAGCACCTTGGTGATCTTCACAGAACTCAGGGCAATCAGAGAGTTACCACTTCCCCCCTGTTGAGTTCTTATTTCCTCTTCTTCATGAGCATGGGAATCCCTCTCTTGTGAGTCTCTGTAGCCCCAGTGCCTAGACTAGAAATGGGCACACAGCATATGTGCTGGACAATACATGGAGTGAATGGGTGCCAGCAGCTCCGGGCTCATACCCTTCAATTTGCAACCAGAAGGAAAAAAGATATTTTCTTCAATGTAGCTCAAAATTCAAAGGTCCTGGGAAATGATCTTGTTGAGTTAGGTGGGACCCTGTAGCCAGTCACCATGGAGCAGAGGATATAGCACTTCCAACAGGAACACAAGGGTGCAAAAACATTTCTCAGGAGAAGGAGGATGTGATGTTGCCAGTGCAACATCAGGCACTCTGCTCTCCCTCCACTCCACACCTGCCTTCAGGCTCTTGGTCTAGCTGCCGCCTTGGCCCTGACTGCCCTGCCCAGGCACATGCCTGATGAATTTGCTGTTCTCCAGGTTTTTACTCAGACTCCTCCTTCTCCAGGAGGCCCACACTGATCACCTTCTTTAGTACTGCAGTTAGCTACCACCCTGCTCACCAGCTGTCTCAGCTCTCTTCCTTCCTCTGCTCTACGTGGTTCTTTTCCCCACAGCATTTGTCATGTTCTCATGCGCTGAATAAATTACCTTCTCAATATGCTTGTCTCTCACCCCTCATCTGTGTTAAAATTGAAGGTTTGTAGAAGCAGAGATGTACCACGTACACCCAGAACAGTACATGGCACAGAGAGGGCAGTCAATAAGCCTTTGCTGAGTGAATAAATGTGCATGCAGTCATTCATTAGCAAGTGGGGATACAGTGGTACACAGAATGGCAAAGTCCTTTTGCTTATTCAGGTGGGGTGATAGGCAACAAAGAGGTCAACCTTTGATATTTTGGATGCTAATAAGTGACTTGGAAAAAAAATGGCTAACAGCCTAGAGGATTCTTGAGGAGTGATGAAGGCACTTTAGCTAGGAAGGGAGGTCTGGGAAGGTCACTTTAAGAACCTGACATTTCAGTTGGGATGTAGATAATGGGAAAGTGGCAGCTGTAGAGGTCAGCAAGGGGCTGCTCCAAGTGCAAGCTTGGAAGTCAGCAAGTTCTTGGAGATGAGAGAGGAGAGACAGTCAGGCCAGACTGTGAGTGGACCCAGGGCAGTGGGAGGAGTTTGATTTCATTCTAATTTCCATGGGAAGCCATTGGAGGGTTTTAGGCAGGGAGTGAGATGGTCCATGTTTGCTTTGAGGGGCTGTGGCAGTGCAGGCTCTCTGTGGAGGGCAGGAGGGGGTGAGGGGGATGAGTCACAGAGGCTGTGTAGTCAGCCGTCCAGGCTAGAGACTCAGGCTGCTTGGGCCACAGTTTTTGAAGTGGACATTGTAAGAAGTGGCTGGATTTGGGATACGTTTTGGAGATAGTACAGGCAAAACCTATTGCTCATTTAAAAAAGAGATATAAGAGGAAGTCATTAGTTATTCTTCTCCAACAGAATTTTTAAAGTTGGTATCCCATCAGATGGATGGACCACAATGTCTATTTTGCCAAGTATAATGCACAACCATGCTTTAGTGCTGATTCCCATGTATGATGTGCAACCTTATTTTTCCCTAAAAAATTTGGGCAAAAAGTGCATATTATACAAGGCAAAATATGATATATAGAACATACTCAATTACTGGAAACCTAGGTTATTTCCATAAATTTACCACATGGATAATGCTTCACTGGGCATTCTTCTATATAAATCTTTATGAAAATCTTAGGTTAGTTCTTTAGGATACTATTACTAGAAGTGGATTTGCTGGGTTCAAGGGTGGGAACATATTTAGTGTTCTTTGTATATATTATTATATTATTTCCCAGATATTCCAACTTCATTCATCAGTGTTTGAGGAAATCTGTATACCCTCCCGTCCTCTTCAACCTCTTGTAACATTATTTAACTTTTAAATCAATTTGATAAGTTGAAAATAGTATCATAATATTGGTTTAATTCATATATGTGCATATATGTGCATATATATACATTTACTAGTAATGCTAAACTTCTTTTCATGTTTTTAAACTTTGAATTTCCTGTTTTGTGAATTATTTGGTATTGTACCTTTGCATTTCTACTGGGCTGTTTTTTCCTTTTTGACTACTGTTTTAATCAAGGTGACTGCAGGCAAAAAGATGATTCAACACATTGGCTAATTTGAGGAGAGCTAACTAAAGGGACTGTTTATAAAAGTGTAGACTGAAGAAACCTAAGAGTGGTTACCCTGGGCTAGTAATTAGGTTTGGGCTGGGTGGAGCTGGAGTGGCTCCATTTCCATCCCTGGACCTGAGGGCACAGGGGAGGTCATGGCTAGCAGAACCTGGGGTAGGGGGGTGTGGACAGAGAGAGAGGGAGAGGGAGACAGAGAGAGCAAGAGCGAGCCCTTTGGAGAGGCAAGCTGACAGGAGCTGCAATCTTCGGTGGAGGACTGACTGGGGCCAAAGGAACGAGTACAGAAGTCGCCCCTTATCTGTGGTTTTGCTTTCAGTTACACAAAGTCAACAGCTGTCTGAAATATTAGTGAAAAATCCCCGAAGTAAACAATTCATAGCTTGTAAGTTGTACATGGTTCTGAGTAGCATGATGAAAGCTGGTGCCACCCACCCCATTCTCGAGGAACGAGAATCATCCTCTGTCTAGTGTCTCCATGTTATAGAAACTAACAACCAGTAGTCCCTTAGCCCTCTCGGTTATCAGATTGGCTATTGGGGTGTCACACACATAAGTGCGGTGTGCTTGTGTTCCAGTCACCCTCATTTTACTTATGAAGGCTCTGAACTGCAAGACCAGTGACGCTGGCCATTAGGATGTGCCAGAGAAAAGCCATGAAGTGCTTGTTTTAAGTGAAAAGGTGAGTCTCAACTTAAGGCATTTAATCATCTTACGTTATCATAAGAAGAGAGGTGAGTACTATAAGATATTTTGAGAAAGCCTACATTCACATAATTTTTATTACAGTGTATTGTTGTAACTGTTCTAGTTTCTTATTAGTTATTGTTATAAATCTCTTACTGTGCCTAATTTACAAAGTGAACTGTTTCATAAGTACGTATGTGTAGAAAAAAACAGTATGTGTGTCAAACAAAGTAATGAATGAATATATACAAATATAAATATATATATGATCAAACATGTATCTGGCTTATTCTATATACATATATATACATACATACATATTAATCTCTGTAATATTTTTAAATCTGATTTTCACTGAAAATTATATCTTAGACTTTTTAATATTATTTTTGTAAAA